AGTTTTTGTTCTCCAAGCTAAATAGCATTTCTAAGCTTAGGTTTAGTTCCTGGAGAACATGCACCTAAAGCCATGGACTCTGGGGATTGATTCAAAACCACCAAAACTATATATGGTTTAGTACTATTTCGGTTGTATTGAACACCACCATTTCAATACTCCGATTCATATGAATACGGTTCTAAAATTTTTTAAATTTGAAGGGAAAAAATATACACTGAGAAAGCAAAAAAGACTAATATGAGGAAGAGTTGAGTAACTTGAGTCAGGCCAATCTAAATCTACTTTTTCTAAAGTCAATACTTGGGGTAATGACAAAACATGCATTCCGGGGGACGAGGCCATGAAGCTAATCGGATCCTAACTTGGCTACTTGTGCTGACAATTGGAATGGTCTGTTCTTCTGGGTCGTAGAAAGTGGGCTGGCCCGGTTGGGTGAATTAAGTTGATACCCGCCATGAATGTTTGGTAATCTGGGATTTGATTGTTATTAAAATTAAATCAGCCACCAACCAATCATGATTATAGAAAATTAATTTGCGACTATTTTTGGCCGGTACACAACACCATAAGCATAAGCAATGGAGCCAATTTAAACTATAGAGACCACTAATCCCACACTACAACTAGTATCTTATTCAGTTTTTTAGCAAAGATTCACAGTAGAGAGAATACAACTACTTAAGCAACTTCGAGATATGAAGTGGATTCAGATTTTGTTGACGTTTCTCCTAGTGGTTTGCGCTACACATTCAAGTAATTCTCTTCATTTATAAACTGGTTTCAATGTATAATTCCATGAATCTGTCTATGTATTCTGTGTTTAGGCTAAGCATGATGTTGCAATTTTAAACTAGTACAAAATTTGATTGAATAATAACTATTCCCTCAGTTTGGATTTTCATTTTTTGTTTAATTTGTACTCTCTCTGTCCCAGAAAAATAGTTTATTTTGAGTTTTGAAATTTGTAGTAGTTTTAGTATAGATTTGAAAACTCTGTGGACTATTTTTTTGAGACGGAGATAGTATTAAAATTAAAAATTCAAACTAGTTAATAATTTTGGGACTCTTTACCATTTTTGTTGCAGGTAGTAGTTTGAATAGGGTTGAAGCAATAAGAAATATTCCAGAATCTGATGGAGTGATTATCCCTGATGGAGCCATATGCACTCCATACGGCGGCTGTGTTCTTACATATCCTCCTCCTCCTGTCTTTAAGAGTTCTGCCGATGTCATTGCTTTCCCGCCGCCGCCGCCACCTGTTAACTCCTAAAAGCGGGAGAAAAAGAAAAGATGGTCTTAATCTTTAAATACTTTTTCCCTCGGGGAATTGTTGAATTATCGTACGTGATAATCTGATGAATAAATGATTCTTTGCACGTCTGAAGTTTACAAAGACGACATTTCTACGTTTCAGTACTTCTTTTCATTTATTAGAGCATCTTTAGTAGTGGTTAATAAAAAGTAAATTATTATTTTATTACATTATTTTTCACCTAGAGTGTAAGAAATTAGGAAGGTATAAGAATTCTTACACGCTTGAATACATGTGGTTTGTTGGTCCATTATGTAATTAGTGTAAATTATCATATTTAATTTTTTTTGAAAACAATTAAAAAATTAACAATTAGCTCAATTGTGTGGACGTGGTCATTCAATCTTGAATTAATTATATTACACTTTTATAGTGTATAACCAATGTAGAACAACCATTTCAAAAAAAATGTAGAACAAAGTGTAATATCATAACTCTATGATAAAATACTGATTTGGCATGTTATTGTACCCATAATGATTTGTGGATGCTCTTATCGTAACGCAATAATCACTGTAACATAAATGATAAATCAATCACCGGCTTTCATTGGGAGAAATGAGCTTAAATACTTGAAATGAACGGAATATATTTTGTTAGCATAAAAAAGCTATAAATTCAACATTTTAATCACCATTCTTGTTGATAAACACGAAAGCCAGTGTACCCAACAATCATCTTTCTTTCGGGTCCTCACACAAAAAGTGTGCCTAAATTGAATAAATATAAATGCAAATCTATATATTATTTTAATAAATGAATATTTGCCAGCTCCAAAAAAATACTCCCTCCGTCCCATAATTATTGTCCAGTTTTACTAAAATGAAAGATTTTATTTTTGGTCAAACTTAACTATATTTTACCTTAAACAACCGGATATACCCCTACATAAGTAATTGTTTAACCACTAAGATTTTATGGATAATGTTTTTTACTAAGGACAAATATGTAACTTGATCCATAAAAAGTCAAATTGGACAATAATTTTGGGATAAAATTTTTTGGGCAAAGTAGACAATAATTATGGGACGGAGAGAGTATATTTTAACGTGAAAATTAATTCTTTAATTTTAGCAACCAAATACATATCATTAAATACACCCGGATTTACATAAATCATGGTTTCTTTTACAATGTTTAATGATAAATTGATGTCTATCTTCTCATTTTCTTTGAGAATACATTGTAAATTATAAATGTCATTAATTCGAAAGATATGAATCTCCAAGAAATGAAAAGGGAAAAAAAAAAAAAGAAAAGAAAAGAATATTCGCATGCATGCACGTAATTAACACCTACAAGCGCCATTAACATGACAGGATCTTCGATTAGTTGTTTTGGCACTTAATTTGTTGCTTATATATATAAATGTAGATGATGCACATATAAATCCCAATACATCTCGAAGGAGTAATTACGTCCTCTATTTAGTATATTCACCAAAGACTGAGAAAAGAAAAAAAAAAAAACACAAGAAAATCAAAGAAATGAAGTTTCTTCTCAGTTTAGTTACATTTCTACTGATGCTTTGCGCCATTCAATCGGGTAAACCCTCTCTCTGTAATTCTATTTCTTGTTTTTCAACTATATACTCCCTCTGTCCCAAAATTATTGTCTCGTTTGAAAAATTTCACTTTTAGTACAATTTGAACTAAAAATAAAAAATCAAACTGAACAATAATTATGGGACGGAAGGAGTATTTGTTTTTCTCTTTCATTTTTGGCATCCACTAAATTTCGTGTTGCTGTGCGATTTGTGACAAAATGTCATCTAAAAATAGACGACAATTTAAATTCCTCATTTTATGATCCATGACGTTCTAACTAATTTTGAAATTTTCAATCGTAGGAATGAACCTTGGGGTTGAAGCAAGGTTCAAGGTACAACCAGTTTTCTGTGAGAAAGCAGAAGATTGTCAATTCATATGCCCACCTGATACTACTGATTTCATGTGTGTTAATCGTCTCTGTGAATGCCAAATTCTCCGTGCCCAAGGTCTTGAAATCCCGGATACTCTCAATTCTACGGAGAAGCCAAAGAATTAGCCCCTCCTCCTGAAGTCTCTGTCTTTCTAAGTTTCATCATGTAATTTCCACGAAATTAATGTTTTGACATTTTAACGTAAAACAAAATAGATTAATATTTCTCTTCAGTATAAATGATCTTTTCAGAGCAATACTAGTTCCCGTCAAAGCATGCACTACATTCTTGGGATCTACACAAAATTAATGTAAATCCTTTTTCATGGACGAGAATTAATCTAAAGTGGAGTTAACGTTCAACGTCTATGTACATAATTTTTTTTGAATTTGACATTTCGCAACTGTCCCAAATTACAAGAATATTAAAATAACGATTCGTCGAGTTTTTCGTCAATATTTATTTCTCGACGAAGGAGTTGACGGACGTTCGTCTATCTATTCGCCTGTATACTGATGCCAACGAAAACGTCGACGATATTCAGAAACCTTACTGAAGCTTAATGGTTCGGCGACTTCTTCATCAGGCTTGCAAGTTTGACAACAAAGTCGACGAAATTCAAACATTTGCATTACGATGAAAGAGAGCTTGAGATTGAAATAAAAAAAAAAGTTTTGAGAAAAATGGGATTCTCGCCATTTTTCGTCACACTTAGTAATCAAGTTTTTTTTTCCCGACCTGCTCTTCATTGATCTCCTTTGAAATGAAACGGGTCGCCTTCCCGGATCGGATCCTCACCTGCGAACCACTACCTTTGGACTGGGCTGGAACCTATTTGTTTCATATGGGCCGGGCCAGGTCAGTTTTATTTAAATGTCAAGTGTTATTTATTGGTCATAATTAACACTTGGCAGGGGCACTTGACGAGTCCAGGTCCATCACCATCAACGGGCCGGCCCACTATTCGGCCTTAGGGTCAAGACCGCCCAATATGGCGGTCTATTACTGTTAACCCTAGTAGGAATCGGATTCTTCCTAAGTCTATAAATAGAGACCTTTATTCCGCACTAAAGGTACGCAATCTTAATTATCATATCAGCATACATACAACCCTATTTTCTAACTTAAGTTTCGGAGTGTCTACCCTCGGGAGACGCCCGAGGCTCTGTTTTGCAGGAAACCCTAGCCGGAGTTCCACCCCATACCGGCGGTACAAATCCAAGTATCGTCACGAGCATTTCTCTCAACGCGTAGACACCTTTAAAATTTGGCAACAATCCAGCTCGATTTGAAAATGAAATTAAAGTAAACCAAAAAAAAAGTAAAAAAAAAATAAATTAAATTAATGGATCGTCGAGTTTTTTTTGGTCGACCTTGCATTTTCAACGATAAAGTCGACGGCTGTCTATCGATTTATTCGTCGAGTATTTTCATCACGACAAACATGTCGACGAAATGTAGAATGTTTACTAAATCTGAAATTAATGGTTCGACTATTTTTCTCAAAGTCGACGAATTCAACATTTTCGTTGGGTCCCTTTGACGTGCTTGACCGAAATTAGTGGTTTTTCAGCCTATATTGCCTGGCGACACTTAGTAATTGAATTTGCAACCCCACAATTCTATCATTGCCAACATAACGACGTGATGCAAAGTTCGGCACTAAACACCTCTTTAGACTGAAATTAATGAAAGCCAAGTAGTCGTTCGTCAACTTAGTTGTTGAGCGTCTTAGCCTGATGAGTAATTTGACGAAATGCAAACAAACATCTATATTGATTGAAATTATGGAACACAAAGAGAGACGACAATCAGTCCTAAGCGCAAGCAGTAAAAGTTTCGAAAAGTTGCTCGATGATACTATCTTGTTAGATTCCCACAATCTCCCTTCCGCAACGTGTTTGAGACGAAATTTTTTCACCAGCATGGAACGAGACAAAGTCGCAAAATATCTATGCAACAAAAGAAGTTCTAAAACTTTAAAACTCAGGAAATACGAGAATATTTCCATTACAAAAAGGTCAACAAAATTGAGCTCCAACAATTGCCTGCCCTAGTCATTACTACACCAGGAGCTACTCCAAACCAAAATCCAGAAGAAAACTATAAAAGAGACAAAAAAGGAGAGTCTCTAAATGTGAACAATATACAAGGGCTAGGAGACAACAATGGACAAATATATCCCCATTAAGCTAAACAAGGCATATGAACTGCCATGGAGGAAGGTGCAGATGTATATGACAGAGACATCTCCAGCAACATTATTTAGTATCCTTCCATTACCTGATTTCCACCATTATGGATCTCAGATTCCATTTCATCCTTCTACTAAAATTGGGCTGTCGTTCTAGGAGGGTATATAGAACAAGCTAGGATAGGATTTTCAATCGAGTCTGACCAAATTCTTGATCATCTGCATTAGTTACCGGAGAGCATTGACGAAAGCCAACAAAGAATCCACATCTCTATTCTCTGATGGATATTTAACAGGCCTTGATGAATACTTGGGGAAGAAGAGAATTGTTGGGAAACTGCCAAGTTGCAGTTCTTGCTGGGCGAAAGTTTTCTGGTCACCGTCTGCCTGGAACTTTGCGACCTTCACACCAGACCCGGCCAACTTCTCTGCCAATTCAACATATGATCCTTCCATTGCCTACACATCATTAAGCAGAATGTAAATTAGAATGTTAGAAAAAAACAAGTACTCGTATTTTCGAAGTAATAAAGAGCATGATACAGTTTGAAAACAACTAATTACCTGGCAAAATCTGCACCATGGTGCATACAGTACAACTATCCAAGGCTCACTTCTGTTCTCCAATTTCAGCAAATTTTCAATGCCTGGCCTGGTCAAGCTAACAATGTTCTTGCTATCAAAAATGTCAGCAACAGTTGTAGTACCATTTGCATGGACACTGGCTCCATTTCCGTTGCCATTCAAATTATCTTCCTTGAGGTTGCCTTTGTGTAGACCACACTCCTTAGCCTTAGCATCTTCCCACCACCACCTTCCTTCTCTCTCATGTTGGCCAGGAAGAACAGGCCTTGTGCAAGGTTCACATCCAATTGAAACATAACCCTGTGAGTGCAAGGAGTTCACAGGGACATTCATGGCTCGAAGAAAGTTCCAGACATCCTTCCCATCAACATTAGCCACAGGGTTCCACTTCACCAAACTGCCTACTCCTCCCTCCAGACCCTCAAACACTGGATCTACTTGGACAACAGGTACTTCAGATCGAGTGCCAGGGGACTGATCTTTTCGCTGGCCGGTAATCCAGGCACGCAACCCCTTGAGAGCTCTTCGCAAGGGCCTGACCTTTCTTACACGGCAGCATTCTTGGTGACCATCCTCATAGAAAGAGAAAAGCCCCTTGCTCCTAACTAAAGCCTGAACTTCAACAGCATCAGGAAACATGTATTCAATGTGAATGCCGTACTGCTTCTCTACGGTATCAAAAAACTTGTAGGTCTCCGGGTTCAACCTCCCGGTGTCCAAACTAAACACTCTAAATGGACGGCCAGTCAACCGGGCATACTCAATCAAAGCCACATCTTCAGCACCACTGCAGCAAAATTTAACAGCTACTTCAAAATTATGATTCATTTCACATACAGGTTGGTTGTCAATTAGATCACGTACTATACAACCAAGGAATTATCAGAACCCCTGTTTAACTTCAAAATGCATTTCAATCTTTAGAAGGAAAAAAGAAACACGGCAACATTCTCAAAACAGCTAAAAAGAAATTTCCAATAAAAATTTTGCCATCAGTTAATCCATACAATCCCTATCTGATTAGATATACTAAATCCAAACTCCAAACCAGATAAAATGAAAATGGTAATCATATCAATAAAAACATCACAATCCAGATAAAATCGAAACATAACTATACGAAAGAGTTCCAGAAAGAAATCGATCAAAGGAACTTTATCAGTAAACATTTAACATAAACACCATAGTAAAGTTGAGTATACGAAATTATTACCTAAAAGCTATAGCAATGTCATTCCCAAATTTAGCAAGGGCCTTGTCCATGATCTCGAGAGCCGATGCATTCTCGAGCTCCTTGGCCAATTTCTCATAGTCCTCCACCTCAATTTTCTCTCCGACCTCTGCTAATAGCAAGTAAACCACAAAATTAGATCGAACAATAATTAATCTTCTGAAGAGCCATAAACAGAAAATTGAAACACAAACGAAAATACCAATAATTGGTAGCTACATTAAGAGAGAAAATTACCAGGAGCAGCGATAGTTGCCGCAGCCGGAACTATTGAGTTATTCCTTTTCGGCTCCGCATTCAATGGCTTCACAACCAAACGCCTCGCTGGGGTTGACAATATACTGGCCCGATCCAACGGCTGAAAAGAACCAAACTTTGATCCCACTACAAAATTAACAAAACAACAAAAATGCCCAGAAATTAAGAATCTTCAGAAACAGGTATTCGAAGGAAAGAATCACGAAAAGGAAAAGAAACCCATACAAATCGAGGCAATTGAATCGGAATTAGGGTGAAAATGTACCTTTAATATGTTCATGTGAAGATGAAGAAGATAAAGAACCATGAATGGCTGTTGAAGAACTTAGAGACAGAGCCATCTCAGAAGAGAAAAACAACAAAAATCCCACGAGAAAAACCTAGAATTCAGAAACTACTAAGGTTTATGGCCTCTCTGGTACGGCCGAATTTGGCTACAAAATCAAAATCCGAAAGAAAAAAAGAGATAGAAAGAGAGCAAAGGAAGAAGGAAGAGGCAAGTGTTTTGAGAGGATGAAAAAACATGGAGACGTTATAAGGAGAAGGGGAAAAGAGGTGGCTCACAAGGTTCATTGAACCTGGACGTAATTCCGGATCGGGCAAAAAATCCGACGTGGGAAGACCTGATTGGTGGACCGCCCCATTTGAGTAATCTGGAATCAGCAGTGTCGTCATTAAAATGGGGGAAGTGGACAAAATTAAGAAATTGTGAGGAAGGGGAAAATTGGGAAAGAGTCGTGGTTAGAAGTGACTGTAAGTTTCAAGCCAGTCAAAGGGCACATTTCTTTTGTAGATTCTCCCCTTCTCTTCCTAATCATCTTTAATGGGATCTTTCTTTATTTTTATTATATTCCCAGATGTGGGACAATTATTTTGTGTGATTCTTATTGATTTTTAGAATTTAACAAACCCTCCTCAAAGTTTAAGAGAATCATGTAATTGTCCCTAAATATTTGAGAAAATCATGATGGTCCTTCTTGATCAACTAAAAATTGTCAACAAGCTAATGTGATAATTTCACGTCCACATATTTTCTTTTCGACGGACAAATTATGTTGTATAAATCCTTTTTATTATAATTTCTAAATTAAATGACACTCTTAATTCATCTATAAACTTTTTCAACAGGGCCATTGATGGGGAACGAAACATTTATCCGATCGTGATTTGTAGTTTCATCATACTTTGGGGGCGTTCAGACAATTAAATGTTTTCAATTTCATGACCCGATTTGAAAGAAAAGAGATTGTGTGATCCTGGTGGAATTTTTGAATATTTTGTGGATTGGGTGCCACACATTTGAATATTGGGGGAGATTTTGCTAGTGATTTTGGGTGGCGGCTGGCAGGCTGAGGCTGCGCGCCCAAGTTTATCATATTTATTAGTCAAGCTCCTTAAGTTGTCATAATCGTGTGCGTATACGTATGCTTTTGTTCCATTAGTTACTTTCTGGTTTTGATGAGCGTTTGCTATGGTAATAAAGAGATAATAATAATTCCTTTCTCCTGGAAAAAGAAAAATACAGTAAATATTAGATATGCAAATCCGGGGGGTGATATCAAACGAATCTGCACAAAGTTTGAGCAGATGACGAACACACGATAGAAGAAATTCAAGAATATTAAAAAAGAGGTGATAAAAAGTAGATCCACTATCTTTATGTGTGTAAGATTCAAAGAACTATCAATTACAGTAGTACAATTTAGAGAACAAAAAAGAGGTGGAGGGAGTCTATTTTATAGCTTGATTTGCTCGGGCACTTGTGTAAAATAAGCGTCCGACTTTATATTCTCCTCGGTCCTAATTATAAGACACAATTTTGATAAATCGAAGCACCGGATATTCAATAGACATCAGAAGAGGGATCATTGTGACAAGCAACTATTTTAAGACTTAGCTTTAGCTATACAATTGAGGAAGAAGAAACCTTGACGATGATAAGTAATGCACATTAGAATGTAAAGGAAGAGGAACAGAGACATAGAAGAAACCATTACAGAATGGTGGCATGATGTGGTGACTGAGGAAATGAAACTAGAAACACCCATTTCTGCAGACGATCTATAAGCAACATTATATTCCATCTCACCCTCTTTCAAATGAACTTTTTGTGCTATTACTATTAGTACTCATCTAAGTAAGTGTATAGCAAATCATCTTTCTTGGACTTTCTCCGGCTAAGCAACGACTTTAGGAGGCGTTTACTTTTGCTAGGGTTGTTCTCACCATCTCTAGGACTTCCTCCTCTTTGAGGATGATCAATCCTCATTGAAGCTGATTTCCGAGGTTCTGACGGGAACTGGTAGACACAAAGGAGTCATTCACACATCAGGAAAAGTTATTTGACCGTAGGAATTCTGACAACTAAAAAATGAATAGTGGCATTTGCATAGGAGCTAAGAGATTAAACATATCATGGTATGAAGGAATGATATGAGTGACACAGAGATTTATCAATCCACTCACCTGTCTTCCAAAGGAAGCATTTGGAGTGGTTGGTCTACTTGGATTTGGAGTTGTTGGCCTGGATTTCTTGGGCGTACTTTGACGACTAGCAAAAGATGCTGTACGCAAGAGGGGAAATCGATGTGGTGATACCGTTCGCTTATCTGAATCATCCAACCCATACAAACAAAATCAGACAGATGAATACATGAATATATCAGTCACATTAGGGAGGGAAGGGGGAGGAAAAAAAGGGGAAAAAAGAGTTGTTTGAAGAAAGACCTAATTCTTTCTTAGGTAAGGTGCCTGAGAATGAAAAACTTCCGGGTAACTGGGACACTCTCGGAGAAGGTGGTTGAGAACGGTGGCCATTCCTGCAGCCGTGCATGACATGATTAATCGAATGTATCAAACTAATGGTGATATACTATTACCCAAAATGAGCTTACCTCATTGGTGGTTCCGGAGGTGTTTCTTTAATGGTTGCTCGAACTGCTGTTGAAAACAACCAGCTTTTATTCAAGAGTTGCTCAAATAGACTTCAAGGAAAAAGGTAAGGGGAAAAAAAAGGAGAAAATAGCAATTTATGAAGTCTCTAGAATGATAAGTAGTATATTACCATTTCTAAATTGGTGCCATTCATCTTCATCATCTATACTGCAACCGTAATAACTTGACTTGGAATGATTAGCACCACTGTTGGTCTCTCCTACTAAACACAGTATTAGTTGTAAAGGTCATAATGGTTCCCTGATATACATCCCTATCATACCAAGAAACATGAAATACTTCAATTACCTGGCAAGATGTACCGTTTATGATACTTTGGAGTGTTTATCACCAGGGACTGCTGAGAGAGGCCCTCACGATCAATATACTCTTGACAAGTCCTCAATCTCTGGGGACCAACAACCAAACATGAACAGAAAAAAAATGTCACTCATTGTTACACATGAAAGAACATGAAAAGGGCAATTGGGATGCAGAACGCAGCAAACTCAGGTAGTGATCAGGATGAGAAACTGTAGTTTCAAGATCTGAAAATGGCTTTGCATAAGTTTGCACCATTACATTTTACGACTCATATAATGTCCCTTTCTTACATCTTTCAGCCTTGAATACAAGCAAAACCTATCATCTCCACTAACATATAGAAAGTAAAACTGGGAACAAGTAAAGAAAGCCTCCCGTTATGTGTCCAATCCAAAATGATTGGGCGACTTTCCATGGATATTTATATCTTTTCCTAATTAATAATGAATATAATTAAGAAATGTTCTCACACATCATGGTATCTAGAGAGAACTATAAACAAGACATATTAGGTCCCCCAAAAGTTGTAGCTATAATTTATAAGATAAACAGAATTTAATATAGCAGAACATCTTCAGCTGAGAACGACAAGGTCGACAAACACTCCCATGAAATGAAATCACTACTTTGCAGAGTGAATTATTATCAAAATCAAGTCTTATTTCTTAACTGCAACTTGACTGTTTGTTAAAAACATATCATTCAATTCCAAGAAACTGTCATTAACATGACCCTTAAGTATCAAAATACAAGTCAAATTTAAGTGAATCAGTACCTGCTCTATACAAGATACACGTAGCTCAGTTCCAGAGACTTCATCAACTTTCTCGTCTAACATATCATTGACTTTGTATGACACCGATCCTAAATGGTCCACCGTATTAACAAGAGCTTTGATCGCGTAATCTTTCAAAGTATTGACAACTCTGTACATGGAGTACTATTCTTCAGTTACGGAAAAATATGAGGAAGTGACAACTTAGTCAGAACTAATAAGTAACTCACACATGTTTTTGGTCATCATTGGTGTATGATAACTCAAAATATTCAGCTGCAGAGTATAATTGCTTTCTCAGATTCTTCAAATCCTATAGAAATAAAAAAGGTGATCAGACTCCACAGCCATATCAAAGTGATCCATCTATGTATGTAGAAGCTCAGCAAAAAGGGATAGGGAATCAGGGTCTTCATGAAACAGAATCAATTGATCAACACACATGTACAGTATTATAACATAAACCACTAAAGCCCTGTCTTTCAAGAAACAATTATCAGAACAAAACTTCATTGAGACCTGGCCTAACAGAATCACAAAAGTGCTCAGTGTCCCTATAAGCTTTTTGGAGGGAAAGGTTTCACTCAAATTTTCCAATACAAAGAGGAACGGCTCTGCCATAGTTCTAATGGATTACACCATCAGAATTAGCACTTCAGGCTGGGGACATAATTCCGAAACAAGCACTATCAAAATGCAGGAAACCAGTCTAGTATACTTAGCAGAAGCCCTTCAAATAAATTATAAATGTATTTGTTTCGGTACAATCAAACAACCTGATAACTTACCGTCACCGACCCACCAAGAACAGAACCCTCTACTTGGAAAAAAATAACCACTACTGCAGAGCTGAATTAAGTCAGGAACAAGAAGTACCTCAAGACTGTCAGAAAATAGTAAACTTTGCTGCATAGAAACCTCATCATAGTTGGCTGGTTCTCTGGGGAGAGTCATTGAAGCAGTTGACCTTATAGCCTCCATAATGGAGTATACTGGAGCTCAAAAATCACTTACCCTGGAAAGATGAAACAAAGAAAATAAAGGGTTAACCGGCTATCTAATTTTCGACTAGGGCTTAAGAAGACAAACAACTGGAAGCACTTCTAATTGTTTCCTTTTGTTCTAATAAACTCAGTGTTCATCAAACAAGGAACAAGAGATAAAAACGTCGTCACCATTGAAAATAAAAGCAGAAACAAAAGGGGAAATCCATTCATAAAATTTACTCAACAGAAAGAATACGGGGGGAAAACAGTTTTCAGCATTATAGCTTATTCGGGCATAGATAAATAAACCTCAAAAACAAATTATGTTTGTAAATTATATATTAAAAAAAGCTAATCTTGCCTAAAGACTGTTAATTATGCTTACTGCCTCTTCTCCTACACTCCATCACCAAAGTATAGTCTTTATCCAAAAAAGACAACAATATAATGGCATCAAATTCCTTAAATTCACCAAAGTAAAAAAAGTTGTAGACTCGAATCATAAACAACAAAAGTCCCATCTGGTTCACGGTTTACTCAATTGGACAGCTAAAAAAAAGAATACTCACCCTCAACGGTTAGAATTCCAATCTTTCACCCTTTGTCAGCAACAACCAATGCAGCAGCAATGGCGACTGTGTAAAAATGGTTATGGCTGGGAGTAAAAATAGGAACTTTCTGATTCGCCCCCCACGACAAAAGGAGCTATTAAAGCCAAAAACACCTTCCCATTTCAACTCTGGTGATCATAGAGAGGAAAGGAAAGGGAGTAAAGGAATATTGGGGGAAAAAGGGAAGGGAAAATGTGACATAAATAGGGGCATTCTTTTTTTTTGGCTTAACTGATGAAATGTGGGTTGGGTTTCAATTCAAAAAGGGGTCTTGACTATAGACAAAACTGGGAAACTGACAATTGTAGTTGGGTTGGACTGTTTGTTTCTGGGAATTGGAACTGTTTTTGAGATGGCTTAATAAACACAGAAATAGGGTGGGAAAATTGGGAAGACGAAGAAGATGGGGATGGGGGATTGAAGGAAACAGCTATCAAATGAGCAATGAACAAACGTCAAAGGCTACCCACGTTGTATATTTCCGAACAATCCCAATTTAAGAAAATTGGTGAGGTTTTGGTGTCATTATTAAACCTTCCTTACTCCAGTAGTCCACCACCCCCCAGCAGCAGCAGGAGTGGAGGACCACCACTTTTTCCACAACTAAAACAACCCCCAAACCAAATAATTCAAACCTATAACGAAATGTTTTGTTTTTTTTTGTTATTTTTTTAAATAAAAAAAGAGTTTGGTAAGTCAATAATAAATTTTAAAATCTCTACTCAATATATATAAAGTTAAATTACACCATTTACGTGATTAGACAAATATCTATACTCATTTTATTACTTAAAAAATAATATTTACTACCTATTTTATTGAGTTAATTCAATAGAAGTCTTTAATCATGACCCTATTCGGTAGGTCCATTTCCTTTCACTTTTCCTACTTTTGGTCCTTTTTGGCATACTACAAAATAACATCAGTTAAACAGGCAAAATATTTTTAGGAGCAGCAAAAAAGAAGTAGATAATGTCTTTTGTCAACAGAAAAAAAAATAATAAAATGATTTATAGAAATGATGGTTAGTTCGTTAAGTTCACACATTGTACACACAATCTTGTTTTCGAAACATGGTTTTTGAGAAGTAATGTGCAGTATATATAATAATAATCACACCTCCATTGCAGATAAAAAAAAAAAATTGAAGAGGATGATGAATTAATTAATACATCTGCAAAATAAATAAAAATGTGAACCCTTAGCCGGGCCAGCGGCCCATAGAAGTCTGTTGCGCTATGAAATCCCTCCCACCTTTTAAGGCACGCGAGCCGAAAATTCCATTTGGGTTTCTGGGCCCACCACCTTATTCCCAGGTTGAAACTCTTTTGGTTTTCCCACTTATAACCCGTCCTTTTTATGGCTACTCAATTTTATTTTTTTTTCCTCTTTTCTTTTTCTATTTCCATAATGATTAATATTCCGGTCAACGGACATCCTCTAAAATGAGAAATTAAAAATTATGGATTCCGGTCATTTTTCCCTACCTATTCATCCCTGGCAAAAATTAGGAAATGCTTTAAAACACACATTGAAATCTAAGAAATTCGTTATCAATTTTTCTTTAAAAAAAATAAAGAACGAAAACGGATTAGATAAATGTGACGGGAGACACAATCATTGCTGCTGCCTGTTGGCTTGGTGGCTGCTGCCGCTTCAACTTACATCAGTTTTATTTTCTTAAGAGTAAAACGATTAAAACCAAATTATTACGGTGGTAATTATGAATTTAGAAGCAAACCTGGGAAGAGTGAATGTGACATTTGGTCATTTACAAACTCACTGATCTATAAGATATCAGTCAACCAAAATGACAATCAATCATTGTGCTATTTTATGTTTGCAATTTGCTTCCCAATTATGTTACCTACTTTCTTTGAACTTTGTTGAAGTTAGTCAAGATTTAGATAGGTTTAGATTAACCATCAATATAGTATTTAACACTTATTAACATTAGACACTCACAAAACACTCTAATCTAATATGCCCTAGTAACTTTTTTTCCTAATAGCTTATTCCTTTCGTCTCATAAAAGTAATCCGCATAGAGTTTTAAGTTTTGTACGATTTTTAATACAAATTTGACAACTAAATATGAACTATTTTTGTGAGACGGATGTAATAGTAAAGTTCTATCTTTCACGAAAATTTCTTAAAGATTGATGTTTTGATGGGAATCGAATTTCTTGTGAAATCAAGTTCTTGATGGAAATCAAATTTCAGGTCTCATCAAAAGTTACTTTCGTAACTAACCACAGTGATAACACATCATTGTCATGAGTTAACTAATTAAGAAAAAGAAAATCAAATAGACAAATACCGTTACTGGTGAAGAAATTATTGAGCTTAAATCATTTGACCCTATATTCATTGATAATGCGATTTTCTTTTTCCCCTTCATTTCAACAAGTCGTCTCCGAAATAGTCTAACTAGCAAGAATCGACTTTTGATTGTGTTTCTTTTTGAAGGACCCATTTCCAAGCCGAATTAGGAAACTGGTTAGACTATAGAAAGGGGGATTTGTGGAGATACTGGCCTACAATCTTGTCTTTTAGTAAGTTAATTTACTTGAGTTAGTGGCGTCAATTGCGGGGGTGTGTGTGGTGGAACGCCACTTTATCGAACACTGAGGAAGACTTTGGGGAGGAGGCGAGCATTTACACTTTGTAACCTTTGATTTGGTTGCCCGCATTTCTCCTCCTTGCGGCTAATCTCGCCGGCCGATTCACATTCGCCATGAGCTTCGGTGAATGTTCAGTATGGTCTCACTATGAAACCTGCAGTTCACCGGAAGTTGTTTGGTGTCGAAAATAGTAGTAGATTGAAAATGTAGAATTATAAACCATCACCATACATAGTAGTATATTCTCTCTGTCGTGAAATGATCGTTCAGCTTTGATTTTTATTTGTAATACAAACTGAACAAAACAAGTATTAGTATGAAATAAAACTTCAAAATATATTGTATCATTAAAAAGTGTATAATTTGAGTATAATTTTCATGGTGAGAAGCACCAAGGAGATTGCTGGTAAAAATACTAGTTTAGTTTATGGCATTCAAGATCTGTTGAAGCGAGAATGGGTTGTTGAACTCAAACATGTTTATTGGGAAGCTAATTTCGTAGTAGACTTCTTGGCTTCTCTAACAGTACAAGGACCGGGTGGTTTACATAAGTTTGAAGACTCCGCCATCGGAGGTAAAAATCTTAGTTGAGGCATGATATAATAGAAGTTGTATATACTGAAAATATGTTGTGGTTTACATAAGTTTGGAGACCCGCCATCGGAGGTAAAAACCTTGGTTGAGGCATAATATAATAGGAGTTGCATGTACTGAAAAATGTGCCGATTTAAATCTAAGCTTGATGCTTCTTTCTCTGCAACAAAAAAAAAAAAATGTATGCATTTCATTTCCAGGTTTAGGACCAATAGTAATTTTTAATTTTTTTTAGGGTGTCCACCGTTGGACACAGTGGCTAATCCCCCTCGCTGAATTGTAGGCATCTCGATGGGTGAGACAGTTGGCCAAAATATTTAAGGTTACTCCATGTCCATGACGAGGTTCGAACCTTCGATCTATGGTTAGATTGGAAGAGTCCCTTCCACTCCAGTACAACCACTTTGGTTGGCCCAATAGTAATTAGAATACTTATGATTTTTTGTTTCCTGGTTTGGGCTGATTTCTTTAACAGGGGCCCAGGAGCTCCAAAGTCCAAAGTATAGTACTGCACTTGGCGTCTGTGGATCCAAGAGCCCATGGTTCGATTATGGGTCTCAAAAGAGACAATCACAGGTCCACATTGTCAAATGCTAATATTGTTTAACTATTTTTACAAAAAACAAAAAGAAAAGAAAAAGTGATAAAGCTCTAATAATAATAGTAATAATAATTATAATCATAATGATGGAAAATTTAACTGATCAGCATATAAAAAATAAAAATAAAAAAAACCCAGGAAAATTTAAAATTTATGGGACTTGGCGTTGGCGTGGGTGTAGAATTAAAGGTTGAAACGTTTTTTAGATAGATGCCGCCGTATGATAGAGATACGTCATACGTGGGTTGGGGGGGTATTAACGGCGTTGAATTAATGCAAGCACCAAATGCCGGCTCAGATGAAAAGTGGAGGTATATTTCCTCAAAATAATAAGATGAAAATAGGTTAATTAAATTAATTCATTATCAGTTTTAATGCGAATTTACGAAGCCCAAAAAGATGTAGCCTTAATTACACTATAACTCACTGGACTGGATCAAGAAGATGGCACTGATTCGAGTTCAACTTCATCAACCTCGATCATTGTGCAGCCTGCTGTCAAAGTTAAACTCCCCCTCTTAAAATTCCAACAATCTTGGAATTCATGCATTCTCTCTGTTCTGCACAAGGAATCTAGACTATCATGAGTCTATCCTTTTTTCTTCTTCTTTTTTTAAACTTTTTAATTCATCATCAAGCAAAACTAGAATTTATAGTAGTACTACTACTCAATATAATGACTTTTTTTTTTCAATTATTTGGATGTTGTTTTCTGATGGTGTTGATGTTTGTAATGATTTGTGGAAAGAGTTATTTATGTGACAATTATTATTGCTTCCCACATTGTTATATTGGCCACTTAACTTATCAACCGTGCTTTTATAGCTTCGTTAATCACCAGTGCCAAACGGAAAAGCAGTTACGATTAATTGCAAATAATAATACATGTAGTAACAAACCAGGAAAAAGAAAAGAGAGAACAAAAAAAACAAGAGGCATTCAAAAAAAAAAAAAAAATCAAAGTAGTTGTCGTGGAGTGGAAGGGACTCCTCCACCCTTAACCATAGATCGAGGGTTCGAACCTTGGCATATGGGTGGAGAAACCTTAAATACTTTGGCCAGTTATCCCACCAACCGAGGTGCCTACAATTCAGCAAGAGAGATTAGTCGAGGGGGATTAGTCACTATTGGCGACAAGGGACACCCTGTAAATATGAAAAAAAAAAAATGAGTGTAGGAGTATTTTTGTAGTTCAATTTACCCGATTTTTTCGACGATGAAGCATTAAAATTTTATTAGAAAAAAAAGGGACATAGAAAACAGCAAATAATTCAAGATGATTCAGCCCCCTTGGGTTTGTAATCAATTCTTGCTGTACTCGGTAATTGCTTTCCTCAATTAATACCCAAATTCAAGTTCAATTTTTGTTTCATGATTCATTTCATACTAGTACTACTCTGTAACTCCCATTTATTCATTCCCTTAGATCGTGTGTTCACAAATCCCAATTAGCCCAAACCCGCCTTTACACTCCATATATTTATACCACTACCGCATTGTTTCTTCTTAGATTCCTCAAATTTTCCCTACTGCAATTTGCATAATACTGTATCCTAGCAATAGCCAGTCGAGAAATCAAGTATGAATTCAACAGCATCAAGCTTCCAAAAGTCTGATCTAACTCATGATCATGCATTTGAGCAGAAACCCAACTCCTCCTACTACTTGGAAGAACTAATTCCTAATTCAGGGTACGTATTTAATAGACAGAGTTTATAGATGTAAAACTATAAGAATCCCCATAATCTAACGTCCAACTTTCTCTTGTAGAGCATTAGCATGGGAACAAGAAGAGATGATGCTATTTGGTGGCACCCCTGTTGCTCCAGAATACGGTGCATTGCTTCCCTTTGATTGTACTAACTTGGATGACTTTTATCAAGCATGCCCTGTGCAGAACACTAATCATGTTCCAGTATTTAATGAATTTGAGGCCGTGTGGAACGAATTTGGGCTCCAGTCCAATAACGTTAACCAACCATTTCTGGAGGAAAACAAAGCTTTGGTTGATATTAAGCCAGTGATCAACGTGGCAGGGGAAACTGAATTCCATCATCACCAAGACGTTTATGGTGAATTTGGGTTTTTGGGTAATGAAATTAGCCAGCCTTTTTACAAGGAAGAAACTGGCAGTGTTGTGGATGTGAAACCCCTGATGATGGTGGCGGGAGGAACAATAATTGACCATCATTATGATTCTGCGGTGAAGGTGGAGAACAGCAGGAATTGGAGCTTAGCGGAGTTCTCGGAGGATAATTTCTCCGGTGGAAGGCGGATGAAATCATCCGGGCTGCTTCAGTTTGATGACATTCGTAAGTATTTTGACGTCCCTATCACGAAAGCGGCTAAGGAATTGGGAGTTGGACTGACTGTGCTGAAGAAAAGATGCAGGGAATTGAACATCATGAGGTGGCCTCACCGCAAGATCAAGAGCTTGAATTTCTTGATTCAGAACGCTAAGGTATTTGATAAATCGACTGAATGAATGAAGTTTTTTTTTTCCCATTTCCTCTTGTGACTCTGTCGTTTGATTGATTACTTTTTTGAGTTAAGTTTGGATTGCATTAAATATGATTTCCTTTTTTTTGGGGGTAGGAATTGGGATTCACTGAGGAGGTTGGAATGCTGGAAGAGCACAAGAGAATGCTGCGTAGAATTCCAGAGATGGAACTCACTGACAAAACCAAGAAGCTCCGCCAGGCCTGCTTCAAAGCCAACTACAAGAAGAGAAGAGCACTTGCCATTATGGCTGCTGCCCCTTGCTAATTTACTTGAGTCTCTCCTAGGCTTGAAATTCCCCATTAGGTACTGTCTCACCATCTAGTATTTCAAGCATTTAGGCTATTTCTGGGAGCAGAAAATTTTTTAATGGAATTAGATCTGTTAATTTGCTGATTTTAGGATCTGGAAGGAGTAAAGACTAGAAATGTACATGGATGGATTCAGTGGTGAATCAACTAGTAGTATGAAAGATGGTCTTATCTATATATAATTTGTTTCCTGCTAATTCCTAGTCATGGAACTCAAATCAAACACTGGTGTTTATATAGTACTAGCAAATATTGGCAAATGGGTAAATCCGTTAGTATATTGTACTCCTTTCTTGAACTGTTCCAAAATTGCAGGGTGTTTGCCGTAACAATGATCCCCCTGAATGACTTTGAAATGTTCAACTTCTAATACGGAGTTGTTGATATTGACATTATGAAATAAAGATGTATACTATCTATCTCTATGTAATCTTCTACGACTGAGCCAAAAGCTCCTGCCGCCTGAGCCCTTTAAGATTCATATATAACTTTGCTGTGCGTGACATATGTCCTAACTTTGCTTCTGATCTTGTCTGCGTCTCCATTGAACCACTGCTTGCTTCAAGTTCCCATATACGCCGGCCTGCATGCACAGAACGACCTATGATTTTCTCCCCTTTTTGAATGCCACAAAGGCTAAAACTAGGAAAATTATACTTGAATCCAAGAACAGATGGAAAATGCAGAAGTGGGCATTAACTTATTAGGTGCAATTTATTCGTCGAAATCAAATTTGAAATTCCACTTGAAATCTGCGGTTATACTACTAATGCAACAAAATAAATGGTTATTTATCAATCTGCTGACTAGAGAAAACATACCAAGAAGTTGGAGCTGGCATTTGACAAACTGGCAAAACTGCTTCTCCTTTTGAACCGAGGAAGTAGCTTGTAAGAACTGCAACTCCTAGTACTGTGGCTCTTCGAATGGGGAAAACCGACAGCAGAAGCAGATGAAGGAAAATCCATAAAACTACGATCAGCTGGGAATGGAGGCCATTTGCCCTCCTCTTTCAAGCTTTTCAACCCCCATGAACTACACTTGAATGATCTCTCCTGATGATCACCATAATGATGATGATATTTGACCTCCCTGATAAATTCTTCTTCAAGACTCAAAGCAGAGTATTCTTTTTCCTGATCAGGGCCGTCCAGCACCGTGGTCGGAGAGTAATAATTTTCCGCACTCAATTTCGAAGAAGAATAAGTAGAAGAAAAATCACAGTTGTTCAAATTATTATTCACAACAACCAGCCTCGGCGGCAAGTGTAATCTTCTAGCGGTAGTAGTAGTATTAGTACTAGTTGTAATGGTGTTGCTGTTGATTGAAGATGATCTGGGTTTCCCAGGTGCTTCCTCCCATTGAAATGGAATTGAAACTGATATCTTTCTGGGCGGAGTAGCCATGAAATTCACCATCGTTTCTCTGAATTTATGCTTATTTGGGAGTTTGGACAGAGAAAGCTTAGGAGTACTTGAATTTGGTACATAATCTTTCTCCAACAACTGATGATTACCAACTAAACCCATAATATCCTCTGTTTCTTGATGTACTAATTGTGACGAACTCTTTCTCATTTCCTCCATAAATCTTGATGATGAGTATTTTTTTTTATTTTTTTTTTTGTATTTATAATTGAAAAAAAATGGTTGAGATTTTGGTGGGCGGAATGGGATTAAGAAGTGGGGGAGGAAGTTGGAGCGGGTAGTGATGAATGTGGGGAGTGAAAATGGGCAGTTGCAAAAACGCTCCAGGCGACTTATTCTTATTCACGAGCAAACTAACTTAAAAATTAAAACAAACGGACGACATTAAATATTTGGAACCCCAAATCCAATAATAATAGTACATCATATGAAAGGGACCGGCAATTCTGGGTTTCTGGCAAACTGTCAAGTGGCGATTTGTATTTGAGATTTTGACATTGGAAATGTGGTTACTAATTTCACAATGACCTTTTGAATCAGTCCACATGTGGGAAAAATGACCAATTGAGGATGATGATCATACACTCCAACGGTCACAATTAAACTAATGTTGTAGTACTTAAAATAGTCCGTCGGAGGGTCGGACCAAAAAACTGAAAGCTACAACTAAATTGAAGAACCTATCACGTCGACGGTTTGCCGACACATAACAATTTTTTTTTTTTTTTTTTTTGTGGGATTTCAACAGTCACGTTCTTTTTTTTTTCCTTAATTAAGGAAATTAAAACTAGTTTAACATATTTATGATCATTTTAGATTCCTTTGTTGCTAGTCGGTAGAGCTTCTAAAAGATGCAACCCAAAAAAAAAAAAGGTAGTTATGTGATGATGCTTTAATTTATGTGAACCAATAGAGTACAATTTTTTTTAATCTTCCACAATTTATTTCGTGTTGTCTGAGAAGAAAAATATGGAGAAGACAAAACTGATTCACTTGCAAAAGGAATCAGCGGTACCAGAAAAAGGCAATTAGGCAAAATGCTTGAATACTTCATTGGGCCGGCAATTTGTTTTTCTCTGTGGGCCGTTACTTGTCTTTTTCTGCTTCTCCGGTCCAACCAAGAACAGTGCATAAACAAAACGTACTTTTGTTGTTTTTGTGGATCATTTTTTTTAGGCCGAATGCTCAAACATAATGCATTTTTTTGTACTGAAATTTTTGGACAGAGCCGAGGTCTGTTCTTCTATTTTGAAACATCACCGTCGGTTACATTATATACAAAACCATCCTCAATGTTTCGAAGATCAAACGGTATAATCAGCATGATCCTAGAACAATCTATTTATGATTACTATAAAAGAGTAGACTACCTTAATTTTCCATGAGACCCGCTATAAACATGAAACGGATCGCATGACCAAACTGTCTTTCAAGCTGCATTGAAGCTTCTAACTTTGGTAGATTCATGAGTTAATTCTATAATATGGTACTCACCAGTTATACTAGTTGCTAAGTAGATTTCTTAGATAACTGTGTAGGTTGGCTCAATATACACAGTAGAAAGGAGACATTTCTAATTCGTCAAGTGAAGAATTCTGTACAGATTTATGTCTGCAGTAATCAGTATGATCAGTAGGAAGTGCCAACGAGGCGTTGTCCCTTTTTCTGAAGATTATGCATCAGCCAACATTGTGCAACTACTTCTTCAAATGTATGATGCCATCACAAGCAAGGGTACCCTCAAGATCTCCAATAATCCGGGATATCCTGATTTCAAGACCTCTTTGGACTTCCTTGAAGAGTGTTTTTATACTATCAGCAAACCTCTTCATGTCAAAGCTAGCAGGAGTCTCTAACTCCTCTGCAGCATCAACAAATCCAGAAGCAATTTTTGACTGCAATTCCATCAGTTTCTGTCCGGTGGCAACCATATATCTTTGCAGTTGAAATGTCTCTTCTAGGTAGTGCTCCAGCAATCTTGTTTCCTCTTTTGTCTTGGCGGCTCTAGAATCTCCACCTCCCAATAGCTCGTTTTCATGCTGCACATGACATGATGAAAAAAAGCATCAGCAGAATTCAACATGTTTCAGCTAATCATTCCATACCAGAATACACATTAAGGTTCCATTCAACAAGTTCAACTAGATTTCTGAACACTAAAACCAGCATACTGCTTTACTCTAACTCACCATTCGCTCACATAGATCATCAGTCTTCCCTTGGAGGGAGTGGTACCGATTGATCTGTTTGTGCAGCAGGGCCATTAGCATGTAAACGCCTTTTGCCTCGACACGAGCATTGCCATTGCCATCACCGTCTTCGAGGCTCTCTTGCTTCCCTGCCAACCTCTCAAGCATAAGCAACTGCTGCTTAAGCCTCTTGATCTTGTATGAAAGTCCAAGAGCATGAAGATCCAGTTTCCATGACGTATTATTACTCTTGTTTGAAAAGCATTTCCCAGAGATTTGTGATGATGACGATTCGGTGCTGTCAACTTCTTGCGAACCACTGATACTTTCCTCTTGGATGGAATCCGGAGACTGTAAATCATACCTTTCTTTAACTTCTCTAAAGGGCGGTTGGAGTGTCAAAACTATATCCTTTGGATGGTTATTAGCTGAAGTTTCATCAACTTTCTCATTTTCCAGCACTTGATCCCTTTCCCAATTTGTTTCCTTTGTTTCCCTCTCTTTTTCTGTGGGTTTTCTCTTTACTACCTTGACTTTGGACCAGATGGTGTCATAGGATAAACTCAGATCGCAAGGATTTGAGGAGGTCTTTTGGCAGGTACAGTGACTCACCAGTAAAGCAAATTTATCCTTGATAGAATGCAGTTCTGCTTCCCGGTTGGACAGTAAAGCTTCCAATTTCATATTGGCACGTCTGAGCTGCGTTAGATCATTTTCAAGCACCTCTGCATGGGACTGCAGTCTCTTTGTTTCCAGTTCCATACTGAGCAATCGCCAGCGAAAAGCTTCTAACCTCTCATCTTTGCCTCTAAGTTGTTCTGCAAAAGCATCCACCTCAAAGTGATGCTTCTGCTCAAGAGTAGTAATATATTTTTCAGCTTGCGATCGAACCCAAACTTCAACATGCTTAAAGTCAGCTGAAATCACATGTAACATAGAATCAGTGCCCCCACAAAAAAAAAAAAAAAAAAACATATATACAAAGAAAAAGAAAGGTTAGTATATCATGTTAGTATGACAATGAAGCTTCCAGAATAAAGAAATTTTGCAATGAACATCAGTAATAACGAAATCTTACTCAAGTCTTGAATTCCCTCTGAAATGTACTGATCCAAAGCTGGTGGCGAAGCCTCCCTCCCTACCCTAGTTTCGGGTCGCTCATACTCAACAAGAATATTGCTCTGGTTCGGAATGTGCCTTTCCATGTTTGATTGTGCCATTGCATTTGAATGGGCTCCGCCTTTCCTTCTGGAATCTGCCTTCGAATTTGCATTCCTTGACAGCATACTTCTCAAAGAATGCCTTTCACGCCTTGGCTCGGAATCCCCCTTAGACCTTTCTGTTACAAGCTCAGCTTGCTTCTTTTTAGCCTTTGACAATTTCACTTCATCGAGAAGCATTTGTCTTTCTGCTGTATCCAATTTAGATTTCCTCAACATGGCTGACAGAATTTGGTCTTTCTGCTCCAAATCTCTCCTCATTTTAACGAGCTCCATGGACAACTTTTGTGCCATCATGGCTGACTGCTCCTTTTGCTCCAAAACTGAATCACGCTCTTGTTTTGCTAATTCGAATTGCCTAAGAGCTCTACTCATTTCTGCCTCAAGCTGTCTCTGATTAGACACAAGCTCAATGAATGCCGTCTTATGTTTCGCCATCTCAACAGAGTGCCGTTGAGTTTCCTGCTTTGCAGTTTCTCCCAATTCTGCAAGAGTATCCTCCAGATTCTGCAATTTTTCTTCAAGATCTTTCCTTTTTTGCTCTTCTTCCTCGAGAACCTTATCCTTGGACTTCAACAAAACTTCACTCTGCCTCAGTTTTTCATTCAATTCATATGTAGCTTTACCTGCTTTAGCTTCACGAACCCTTAACTCATTGATAAGAGCCCCAACATGTTGTCTGAGCTTCTTCCTCTCGCTAAACCAGCTTTGTTCTTGTGCAGCAAAGATTCCCACAACCTTCTCATTAGCCTTGGCATCCTCACTTCTTCTTTTCTTTAATTCTTCAATCTCTTTCTGTGCATTCTCAAGCTTTTTTAGGAGCTCAGATTTACAATTTTCAGATTCTTCCTTCTGAACCTTCCAAACAAGCAATCCCACAAGGTGGGCACTTCCAAGAGAAATCCCATTTTTAATTTCAGACCATCTTTCATCGGACAGAATTCGAAGGGCCAAAAATGCACAGGAAACCCCAAAGAACACTGGATACAAGCTTTCCTTGTCCTCATCAGACAAAGCCAGATGTGATCCTGAAACCCCCTTCCAATCCATTACTCAATGCATATAATTTGCTCCCTCTCCAGATATCAAGAAAAGAAGAAAAGAACAGAATTTTACAATCCCAACCAACATTAAGTACCCTCCAAATACTTCTAAGATTCAAGGACTTGCCTTCAATTGATGAAAAGTAAACAATAATGAATAGCAATTTGGTACCAAAAGTTCAAAACTTTGCATACATGACATCACCCCAGACAGGAAAAAAAGGATTTTCCCGGTAAGTTCAGCTCGAAATACATCGGAATTATCAAAATTGGAAAGTAATATGAATGATATCTCAATAAATCTACTTGACTTTAAACCAACAAACAGAGGGTTGTTGAAGAATTCAAATATAGCTCCAATCTGTATGCCAAAAAGGGATCACTCAATAAGTTGATAATCATACATCTGCAAAACTTACGAGGATGATGTCACCACAATTTTCAGTTTTCCTCTTCCAAACAGAGCATGATTTTCAGTGAAGAACCCCAAAATCAGAACCCATAAGTCTCTATACCTAATATAGCCTACTTCAGAAGAAAGCTGGTTGCTTTGTCTGAGTTAGCTATCCATTTGAAGCTTTGGTTTTGTCAGAGAAAGCCATAAGCAGTTTAGCATGGAGCTCATAGACTTTACACGTGTTTGAGTTGAGACAACCAAAAAAAAATCAGTCCCAAAAACAAATAAAAATAGAAGGGTCTTTTCCTTCTTTTTCTTTGCTGTTAACTGAATTTAGGAGGTAAGGATCAGAGAAGGTTGTTTGTTCCTGGTTCTTAGTGAAGGCTGGACCCATTAAACACCCCACTTTTGCGGCTCTCTGTCTGAAATTCTGAACCCTTATTAATTCTTTATTAGTTTTTCCTTTCATTTTTGGTTTAATTTCCACATTTGCTTCATCTTTTCTTTGAGTTCTTTCTGTTATTGTGACGAATGAAAGGACCCAAAAGCGCCAGATTCCTGCTTGTTTTGTCACCATTGTTAACATGAAGTTGAGACTCCTACGAATATATTATTACTACTTGGAAAAAAAAAGGAAAAGGAAACAATAATTATTAGTCACTGTTACGATCTCAAGTTAAGTTGAATATTCTTAATTGTTTCTAGATTTCCAGGGTGGCTGGCCAGCATCAAGGTTGTTAAAGCACTACCTTTCACTTCAATAAACAACAATAATAAGATAGTTATTATAGTAGTATTAACTTACGGTTTCAACAAAAAAAAAAAAATACTCTCTCCATCTCACAAAAATAATTTATATTGAGTTTTGAGTTTTGTATTATTTTTAGTATAAATTTAAAAATTTAATATGGACTATTTTTTTTTTTGACGGAAGTAGTATTAACTTACTACTTTAATTAAACCTTAAGTCCAAGTTAGATTTTAACTTACTCATCGGAATTTCCAGAAGTATTTTGTCCTTTGACCAGATTCCTAACATCATTCTTCTCTGCTTTCCTCTCATTCGTCATCATCATTAAATCCTAGGCTAATGCTCTTCCATGTTTCATCCCCATGTTTTCTGGATGGTCACTTCCCTGTTTGTGAAATTCTGGTAGTCTTTTAACCTGTTTTTTTTTTAACCTCTCAAGTGGAAATGCTTATTGTGGACCACCATTTTGGTTGTGATATTAATTTCAAAGATGACATAATATCACTTCATTTTTTCATAGCCTTTGATCGCTCCAAGTTAACGTAAAAAGAACTCCAAATGTATCTAACCAAGATCACCATTACCTGAGAAATACAACAAATGAAGTCGAACCTGCTGATTAACCCACCCACGCAAAAATGTGTCCCCAAGGAGATGGTCCAAAGATGTTGAGTTTTAAAGCGACACATCTTCTTTATAAATGTACCCGGGAGAATTAAAATGGTCCTAACCTAAGAGATGTTCATTTCACAGGGACAAATTCTTCAATATAAATACGAATGAATTAACAAATGAAAAGGAGGTAGCACTTTACATTTATAGCATCATTGTTGGTTGATGATGGTGATGATGGTGCAAGGCAGGGAACCAGGTCATCGTGGACCCAATATTGATGGATGTAAAAAAAAAAAAAAAAGAAAGAGAGAATTCGTAACATATAGTTAGAGATAGATGATGATTATATTCATTCCCAATGTTCAATGCAAAGGGGGAAAAAAATAGAAGAAAAAAAAAAGCTTTGGCCTCCTCATGAGAAAATTGATGAGAGCTGTAAAGATGGAAAATGTTGAACAAAAGCAATACAGATCCAGTTTTTTTTTTTTTTTTTTTTAACTGCTCCAAGAAATGGCACCAAATGGCCTATTTGCCCCATATAATATACTGTAATTAATATAATTCCCTGAGAAGCTCCATGTGAGTTGTGACCACCTTCTTTTTTCTTCGAGATTTACCCCCTTTGGAATCTAGATTTTGCTGACGAGGAAGCCACAGACCTCACTTATGGCTGTTGATTGCGCTAGCTCAACGTCGAAGCGATCCAACAAAACCGCTACCCAACCCACATTTTTCTTTCTTTCTTCTTTTTATGATTTTATCTCCTTTAATTGTTCTTAACATTCTTATAGGAGTAGAAATCTAAACTCTTCTCTAATCTAAAGAAGCAGATGGATCACAGGATCACCGGCGGTCAGGAAGCGGGAAACTACTACTATTAATGGACATTCGGTGTCTGCTACTCTTTCCATTTCAAAGTCATTGTCCAGTTTGAATTTCTAATTTTAATACAAATTGAACTAAAATTAAAAATACAAACTAAACAATAATTCCTGGACAGAAATAACTTTATTTTTGTTTTTGTTGTCTTTCTAAGTTCTTGAAACGATTACAGGGCATTGGTGTCATTTTGACCGAAGGATTTGATCTAAGTTCTTAAAACTGAATTTAGTGTCAAACCTCAAACCTAACCAAAATGTGAGTTGTTACGCACATTATTATGAGTATAATAGATCTGTACGAAAATTTAGGGTCAAAGTCCCAATTAATTGGTTTTAAACGTTCATCAATCATCCACTGGTTGCACTTGCACCCTATTACATACTCCACGATAGACCCGAAACCCATCCTTCAAGGACCACATTGTTTATTTCACCCTCCTCCTCTATGACCACTGGCCAGTCAACAATGATTTTATAGTAATCTATTTTGAGGTATTAAAATGTTAAAATAAAAATTTTAATTGGATAATAATTTCAGAAGGCAAAGTTAATATTTTTTTTTAACATAAATAAATGTGGAGGCCTAACTTATATAAGAGTTAATATTAAAATTGGAGGAATCTCATAATGATTTTATTGTTTCAATTTTAGCTCCGGAAAAAAAAATAAAATTAAATAAAGAAAGAAAGACCAGACAAACTTATGTATCCCATTGCGACCCAGGTACAAATCTGTCAGGTTGTGAATAATTACTTTAAAACCCACACCATAAAGGGAAAAATATCAGAGATAAGAGAGGAAGAAAGGGAAAGAGAGAATATGCAGAAATGGGGAAGGGACAAGAGGACGGAAGAATTAGGGAAGAAAAGGATAAGATTTCATTCATAAACTCTCCTCCTTTCAGATTCATACATAATCCTTTATACTAATCTCCCTGATTTTCTCATAATTTAGATAATTTACAAAATAGAAAAGCTGGCTAGCACATGCAAAGATTCTTCCAGCTCATCGTCCGGAAACTACCAGGAAGCTTCACGTTGCATGCATGTGATGCCCCCCGACTTCGAAAATCCAATGCTCAGCAAAAACCCAAAACGACGTAGTTCGTCTCCAAATTGTTTCTACAATCAAACCCGAAACAGGACCCTAACCCGGCAGAGGATTGGGCAGACCCGAAGGCATGACAAACCCCTCTACTAATCTCAGACTTGTCCTCAAGTCTTAAAATGGGGAAATTGCTTAGAAATGAACAAACTATCTTCCCATGAAGCATCTTCTGTGGGTAGATCCTTCCATTTAATCAACCATTGCACCACATTTAATCCTCCTCTTTTTATGAACCTTCTTTGCAGGATCTTTTCCGGGTTGAGTGATTCACCCTTGTCTTCATCCAAATCGGGTAGTTCAGTAGGGGTGATGGGTGTATTTCCGGCGTGTTTTTTGAGTAGTGAAACATGGAATATGGGATGAATTCGGGACTGAGGGGGCAGCTGCAAACGATATGCCACACTACCAATCTTTTCCACAATCTTAAAGGGACCGAAATATTTATGAGCTAAACTTACAGATTTTCTAACGGCCAGGGAATTTTGCCTGTAAGGATGGAGCTTGAGGTATACCCATTCTCCCACCTCCAAAGTCCTTTCTGATCTCCTGTTGTCAGCAAAAAATTTGATGCGGTTTTGAGCCTTTTCCAGATTGTCTCTGAGAAGGTTCAGTACCTTCTGTTTCTGGGCAATCATATCACCCGCCGCGGGAATGATCAAGGAATGGTATTCTCCCATAGGAAATGTATTGGGGGGAACCCCGTATAAGGCTTCATGCGGAGTCATTTTGGAGCTGGAATGGAACGTGGTATTATACCACCATTCAGCCAGTACTAACCATTTTGACCAATTGTTTGGTGCGCTGCAACAGAAGCATCTCAGATAAGCTTCAAGACATTGATTTACACGTTCTGTCTGACCGTCCGTTTGTGGGTGGTAGGCAGTACTCATTTTCAATTTCACCCCGAGTGTTTCAAACAAAGCTGTCCAAAAGTGGCTTGTGAAAATCCTGTCACGATCGCTGACAATAGCTTCCGGAATTCCATGGAGCCTGAATATTTCTTTGAAGAATAATTCTGCAACCGTTTTGGCTGTGTAAGGGTGGGACAAAGGGAGAAAATGTGCATACTTGGTGAGGCGATCTACCACTACCAGGACGGAATCAAATCCTTCAGTCGATGGTGGCAGCTTATCGATGAAGTCCATGGATATATGTTTCCAGGCTTGTTGTGGTATGTCCAAAGGTTGTAATAACCCTGGGTATTTAACATGTTCCCCCTTGCTGGCCTGACACACTTGGCATTTCCTGACAAAATCTTCCACCTCCTTCGTTTGATCCTTCCAAGTGAATAGAGACTTGATCCTTTTCAATGTTGCTTTTTGTCCAGAGTGACCCCCCAAAGGGGAAGAATGAAAATTTTCCATGATGATTTGTCTGATTCCCGCCTGGTTGCCAACATACATTCTATCCCCTTGTTTCAGGATACCATTAACATATTGCAGGTGGGAGGAATTGTTAGGATCAAGGGTGGCCGTGGCTACCATTTTCTGAGATTCTTCATCCCCCACATAACTCTCTTCCAGTTGCGTCATCCAATCAGGCTTTACTGAAGATATAACATTCAAAAATGAAACTCCCATACTCTCGCTACAATCCCGGCGGGAGAGTGCATCAGCTGCTATGTTGTCTTTACCTTTTTTATACTGGATTTCATAATCCATGCCAACCAACTTAGTCAACCATTTATGTTGCATGGGGGTGGACAATTTCTGCTCCAATAAGTACTTTAGAGCTTGGTGATCCGTCTTGATGATAAAGTGGTGGCCTTGCAAGTAATGTTTCCACTTGCTAATGGCCATTACCAAAGCTAGCAATTCCTTCTCATAAATGGACAGTCCTCGGTTTTGCTGATTGAAGGATTTACTGAGGTAAGCAATGGGTTGCCCCGTTTGCATAAGTACAGCCCCCATACCTGATTCACATGCATCGGTTTCTACCACAAAAGGTAGAGTGAAATCCGGGAGTTTAAGAACTGGAGCGGTAGTTAGAGCTTCTTTGAGCTGTTGAAAAGATCTCATGGCCTTGTCATCCCACTGGAAGGAATCCTTTCTCAGCAACATGGTCAATGGCTTACTGATGATGCCAAAACCTCTGACAAACCTTCGGTAGTATCCGGCTAAACCAAGGAATCCCCTCAGTTCCCTTACCGTTGATGGCCGTGGCCAATCTATGATTCCTTGAACCTTATCTGGATTCATTTCTACACCCTTCTCTGAAATGATATGGCCCAGATATTCCACAGAAAGCTGAGCAAAAGTGCACTTAGAACGTTTAGCAAACAGTTGGTTATCCTTAAGGGTCTGTAACACAATAGATAAATGTGTCACATGGTCCTCAAGTGTAACGCTGTATACTAATATGTCGTCGAAGAAGACCAATACAAATTTTCTGAGATAGGGTTTAAAAACATCATTCATCAAAGCTTGGAACGTGGCCGGAGCGTTGGTTAACCCAAAAGGCATTACAACAAACTCATAGTGTCCGTGATGAGTCTGGAATGCTGTTTTTGGAATATCCTCTTCCTTCATTCTGATTTGGTGGTATCCCGCCCTAAGATCAATCTTAGAGTAATATTTTGCACCGAACAACTCATCTAAGAGTTCCTCAATTACCGGGATGGGATATCTGCTCTTTATGGTCAGTTCATTAAGGTGCCTATAATCTGTACATAACCTCCAGGTATCATCCTTTTTCTTGGTAAGTAGAACAGGAGAAGAATAAGGACTATTACTTGGTCTGGCCGTCCCTTTTTGCAGCATCTGCTCCACCTGAGTTTCAATCTCCGTTTTGTGAGCGTGAGCATACCTATATGGCTTCAGTTTAAATGGTGTAGCTCCCGGTTTCAAGATGATTTGATGGTCAATAGATCTTTCCGGGGGCAATGTAGTTGGTTCCGAAAATACTCCCTCAAATTGATCCAAGACTCTACTGATTTCCTCCGGGAATATTTCCATTTTGACCGCATAAAGGTAACCGGCATCAGCCTCGTTTCCTTGCTGAATGTACCTCCTCCTCCTATTATCAGCTTGCCTTCTCATTTGTTGTTCCCATTCCCACTGTTCTCTCCTCCTTTTGTTGCGCTCCCTGTTCTGCAACACTTCCTCAATCCTCCAATACGATTCATAAGCCTGACCTTGCAGAAGGAACCTCTCTCCTCTTCTGTTCAATTGGATGGTATATCTGTCATAATCAAACATAATGGGGCTGAACTTGGACATCCAATCAGTACCCAAAATAATATCCCACTCTCCCAGGTCTATGACCTTAAGATCAAACATGAAGTCGTACTGTTGAATTGACCAAGTAGTTTCGGGACAAGCTTGATCATTCCTTAACTTATATCCATCCGCCACTGTTACTACAAAGGGTCGGATCTTTTTAGTGTTCAACCTCAATTTAAACACTAATTTCGAATCAATAAAGCTTCTAGTGGCACCCGTGTCTATTAGGATTCTGATCCTCACCCCATGAATATACCCAGTAATCAGGATGATTTTGCGGTCTTCTTCCTCCAGTGACCAACACTCTTCCACCTGTGTGATATTTTGAATCTGATCCCCACTAAGTTCCACTATAGTGCCAGCATCATTGGGTTCCTCTTGTATCCAATTCAAGTCTCCCGCCTCTTCATCCTCCTCCATTGTAATAAAGTTTATCTGTTTCATCTTGCAAACATGTCCCGGGTTCCATTTCTCAGCACATTTCCAACACAGGTTGTTATTCCTCCTATATTGAATCTCCTGTGGAGACAACCTCTTGAAGGTTCCATGGCTGCCTCCTTTTTGACCTGGGATGGTGTTCCTGATGACATGGGGAACCCTTACCGGGCTTGGATGAATCTTCCCAACAGAAGAAATTCCAACCTTTTGTTTTAATGCAAATTCCAGGGTCTGCTCTTGCACTGTGGCTATTTCATAAGCTCTCAGTAAGGACGGAGGTTCAAGCAATCTCACCATGGGTTTTAATTCCTCTTTCAGACCACTAATAAAACTCGAAATGAAATACCTTTCCGTCAGATGCGGATCCTTACACAGAACTAGAGACTTAAGCTCCTCAAACTTCTCGTGATACTCCATCACAGATCCAGATTGATGGAGCTTATTGAACTCCTCGATCTCGTCTTTACCCCCTTTTTCCTCGAAACGCTTCACCAATTCTTCTTCGAACTCCTCCCAAGTTACTACACCTCTCACCCTTTTCAAACTTCTGTACCAGTTGTCAGCTCTCCCATCTAGATACAATTCTATTGCATCTATTTTCTTTTCATTGTTGACCTCATAGATACTGAAAAATTTATCGCACCTTCGAAGCCAATCTCTAGGGTTATCTCCCGAAAAGTTGGGAAGTTCAAGTCTAGGCTGGGAAAACCAAAAATTCTTGCTGGATTTCTCTAACTCAGCCACCGTACTATCCTCATCTAAGATGTGGACTTTCGGTTTACTACCCGGCGTGGGTAAGATACCTGCAGCTGATGACGAGAAAGGGATTTTGCCTGAGTTGGTAGGTTCTCTTTTGAAATCGCTCTTTGGCTCATTCATCATTTGAAGAAGATCATTCAACTGCGACGACAGTTTTTGAAACTGACTGTTCTGCTGATCCACCTTCGCGTCCAGATGACTTCCCCAATTGTTAATTTTTTCCTCTACTTGTTTCCTCCATTCTCCAATTTCTAGGATCTGAAGGTCTTGTTTCTTCATGTGCTCCTCCAGAGCTTGAGTGGTTTTAGATCTAGTCTCCGCCATAGGACCAACTCATTTACTGTTTTGTTTCATTAGCAGACTGGTTCTTTCCGAATTTTGATTGACCCAATCGCCGAGGAGGGACCAGCTCTGATACCAATTGTCAGGTTGTGAATAATTACTTTAAAACCCACACCATAAAGGGAAAAATATCAGAGATAAGAGAGGAAGAAAGGGAAAGAGAGAATATGCAGAAATGGGGAAGGGACAAGAGGACGGAAGAATTAGGGAAGAAAAGGATAAGATTTCATTCATAAACTCTCCTCCTTTCAGATTCATACATAATCCTTTATACTAATCTCCCTGATTTTCTCATAATTTAGATAATTTACAAAATAGAAAAGCTGGCTAGCACATGCAAAGATTCTTCCAGCTCATCGTCCGGAAACTACCAGGAAGCTTCACGTTGCATGCATGTGATGCCCCCCGACTTCGAAAATCCAATGCTCAGCAAAAACCCAAAACGACGTAGTTCGTCTCCAAATTGTTTCTACAATCAAACCCGAAACAGGACCCTAACCCGGCAGAGGATTGGGCAGACCCGAAGGCATGACAAAATCCTTCTGAAGCCCAGGATGGAAACTTTTTGGTCCAGGAAGCCCACAGTTACGGGCCTCGAATCTCTAGCCCCTTCCAGATTCCAGAACTATGGGAGGAATTGTATGCTTGCTAACATACGCACAGGCGTACGATTCACACTATACGTCCATTCCTCCCTTTTCAGTTCTCACCTTCTTCCTTGGCTTTCGCTCTTTAATCCTGCCTGGTTCATATTAACTACGTCCGGGAAAAAAAAATCAAATTGATTTAGTAATTTAATCTAAAATAGTTTTCTCTGAATTAGCCAGTGTAGCTTTCCTGCCGGAACCCTAGGGTTTTTCATTAGTTGGAGATTAGTGAAATTCAAGATGGAGCAGATGTCTTTGCCGGCTCTCTTCGAGCAGGCTCGCAAGATTTATCTCGCGGCTTCTGAATCAACCGTTGATCAGGTACTGGAATATCTTTTGTCGTTCTGTCGTTCATTTGCGTTTTTCTGTATTAAAGAGGTTAGGGATTTGAGTTCCTTTTATCCTTTTTTTTTTTTTTTTTGTTTGGTTGGGGATTTTCAGGATACTGTGAGAAAATGTTGTGAAATGTTGCGGCAATGCGAGGAGATGATCAGTAAATTAGGGCTTTTTTCTTCAAATGAAACCAAGGATGATATTAGCACTGCCAATCTGAAGTATCTGCTGGTGAGCAAATTAATGTTCTCAATCTCGTGATAATGTTTTCAAATTTTCTTATGGCTTTACGTTCAAATTTAGCTTTATGGCCAGTGTAATTTGTTGGTGGACTAGTTCATGATAAACTTTGAACTGTTTTTTAGCTTCTCATTTAGTTGGCGTGCTTTGTTTTCCTTTTTCAAAAAAAAAAAAAAAAAAAAAAAGTTATCTGTCTTTTGCCAGTTCCTTAGGCTTAAACTTTGTAATTCCATGAGGAATTCAGTAAACATTTTGAGAAGTAACCCGTGTAATGAATTGTCAGCCTTTTTTAGATTTGGGAAAGCTCAGGTGCAAAACTTGTCTGTGAGTAGTTTGGTTATATAGCTGAATTTAAAGTGTGTTTATACTGAGTTTTGCCTTGATTACCTTGTTAATCTTAATTCTTTGATTTAGAGATGCCTCGGTTTTATCCTATCATTCTGTGGGCCTCAGACTAAGATTTGGTACAGGTTTTGTTCTATCTCGGTGAAATGACTGAAAAAATTGCACAAGATGACCGGATACAAATTCTCAAGGCTGCCCAAGCTAAGCTAAAGGTACATTCTGCTATGTGCTGGTGTATTCTTTCTTCAGTTGCTTTCTTTTGGTCTTATTTGTGATATGTAAGTCTCAATTCCTATTTTTTATGGTCATATTGTTACCAGGAATTTGTCACATTTTGTGAAGCTATGGAGCTTGTGCCTGAAGAGGAATTGCAAACATCTGGAGCTAGTTCTTTTGCAGATCTTAGAGCCAAGAAGGTGTTTATTCTTTTTCTAGTTTCGGATGAAGTGCTAGTCTGATCATATATTCCATGAACTTTATAGCTTGTCTCTAATGTGCTGCTGCTATTCTTGAATAGTTTCTTAAAAGGCCTCGTCATAAGTTTTCTAACACCATGTTCTCATTTCAGATTGCTCGATTTAAACGGCAGCGAGCTGCCGAAGCTAAATTACTTGAGATAAAGGAACGAAAGGAACGGCGTGGCAGATCAACTAAGGCAGCAGCTATTTCCAGCCCTATTGAGGCAGGGGAAGATGATCTGCAGGATGATGATGGAGAAGAAGAAAGGGAGGTTAGTATGTCGGGGGTTAATTGGAACTTTTTCTTTTATATTGTAGGTTCTGAAGTTTTCTCCCTTGCTTAAACCCTTTGTTTTTTCCTTTGTTATTTTCTGTCCGGGGGTTTATTGTTTGGTAGGGTGATGAAGATTAATTTCTTGATACGGCCAGCTGAACTTGTACATGAGCGGAACATCAGTTTATTCTTTCTATTTCCAATTTTACATGTGTGACGGCTGCATTGAGTGCATAGATTCCATTCTCTTTTCTCTGCTTTCCACACACGATCTTAGTAATCTGATCTCTCTTTTGCAGGCATGGCTCATGTCCATCTCCTTGGCCCTCTGCAAGGTTAGATTGCTCTTGCCTTATCTAGGATGTTCTAATATCAATCTTATCTCTTTCGTTAATATTCATTCTGAATTTGTGCAGGCTTTTGATCTACTGGAAATGCTTAAGAAAGAGGAAGAAATGCTTTCTGCTATTAATGAGAAAAAATTACAGGTATCCAATTGAATTTTTGGAGAAGTTTGTTATGATATAAGCATATTTCGACTTTTTACAAATTTCATAGTTATGCTATTCTGTTAGTATGTTCCCCCATGGAAACACCTGCATATGAATGAATAAATTGAAACTTAACAGCCAAAAGTTGGTCAAGGTGCTTATTAGTATCGTTTATCCCCCAAGGATTATTGGTGTCTTCCCTTACCCCTCCCTCTATGCATTGTTTCCCTTCTGCTCTTTTTGGCCTGGGATTGAACTTATATATTTTGCTTAAGATTGTTGTCTGCATACGATATATTGTGAGTTTTGCTGGATAATGTTGCCAGGAAGGGGAGAAGGAAGTTTCACAGGCTATTCTTGATGAGCGTGCCCAGAAGGCAGAAGCTTGGCATCGGGATGCTGCCACACGAGCTAGATTCACAAAACCATCTCCCCCCATCACATGTGCTACTTTTGCGCAGGATGTTTTAGAGGGAAGAAGGCAGGTGTCAGAAGTCCATGAGCATAAGCACCAGCCATTAATTTTTGGACCAGCAAGTCTGGTAGGAAAGAACCCAACCAGTGACCGCGAAAGAATAGCTGCACAAGTTTTCCAGCCTCATTACAGGTTTGATTTTTTCCACAAAGTTAATAAAGTCAACCAGGGTTCCTTTGTGAGTTGTCTAGCAGCTAAAAGTAAAGGTGATATTGACTACCACCTGATCTTATCTTTTATGAATGCAGACTGCCGACCATGAGCATTGAGGAAGCCGGGTTGAAGGAAATGCAAATGATGAATAAATGGCAGGAGAGGAATGCTAAACTCATGGAAGAAGCCAATTCGGCATGGTATAAGGATAATCGGAAGTCAAGACCAGGTGAAGAGGAGGAGGACGAGGATGATGATGCTGCCCAAGAGAAGGCGAGGGCATGGGATGATTGGAAAGACGACAACCCTCGTGGCGCTGGCAATAAGAAGCTCACTCCGTGTGGTTAATTTATAATCATTGGATTCATCATTGTTGTTTTTCTTGATGTTTCATTTGAGTCTTTTGCTAGTTGATAATTATGTGCAACAGGTTTGCTGTCTAATTAGCCATCACTCTATTGTACATAAGAGGATATCTGGCATGTCGATTAAGTTTGTGTATTATGATGTAACGTTAGTCCTGTATTGTCACGGTAGATATAAGGCTCTTTTTATAAGCCTAATGCAAGTTATCTCTGCCAATATTATTGGAAAATAAATTCAAGCTAGTTTTGTCACTTGTCTACTACTTACCGAGTTACAGCTCGTTCATTTTGGTATTCTGCTGTTGAGAAAAAACGAGTACAGTTTGCATGTGATTTCTCCTGTGCGTATTAACGGCACTCATAATCGATCCATCCCAAGGTGTGTGTTCACAATTTTTCATGGGTTCTTTCATTTAGGAAGAAAGTTTGCGTTGCAGTCATGCCGAATATACTTTGGCAGAATATACACCTCAACTATTGAGAACACAACTCAACATCACAACTAGAATCAACCTTCTTCACGAGTGTCGATCACCAGCTAGATGGATAATTGTAATTGCTTCTCCAACCAGCCTGATTTTTAGGTCTAAAAATGTTCAGTTTGAAACTCATTGGGATCTCTTTCAAATGTCGAACAAAATAGGGGTGACATTACATTTACTGCAATTCTTGATAACAAATGCAGAAATTGCAAGCCAGTATAATAAGTGGAAGTGAACAATAAACAAAAGTTCACACTGGAAGTGAACAATATTCAATACTTTCCACCATAAACAAAAAGAGTTCAAACAAGATTTACAGTACAATAATGCACAACAGCATCCACAACCATATGCTTCTTCAAACTTAAAATTTTTAGTGCCATAATATCTGCATTCTGCAATATACACAGTTGATGCAAATAAAAAAAAAAAGAAAGAAAGAAGGAACCCAAATACAGGGACCATATAGAGATACAGTTAAGACAATCCAGAAGAGCAACCCAAAATGCAAACTACCACCATATCCTTGAAGAGACAGCATAGAAATTAATTACAGCTGCTCTGCACAGATACGATACAGTAAAAAGTTGCCCTTCGTCGTCAGACAGTATTTATTTTGTTTACTCCTGGGGAAATCCTTGTATTCCCCTTCTTCACTCCATCCATATTGAAGCACTAAAAAAAGATGGATAAGAAACATCATCGCAGATGAAAAAAACATCCAGTTCCCAAGATTCCGGACAGCTTCAATGAAGAAATCCAACTTCAAATTCAACTATCAATACATTTGAAACCCCTGCAGATGCACAACCACACAACAAACAAGATTGTACAAATGATGAGGTCCATAGATAGCACCACCCACACATGCTTCTTCCAAACCTTCTTAGCTTTCTGATGCCCCATTTCCCCTGCAGCATATAATCCATTCTTGTTGCTCATCACCACCCTAAACTCGGAGCTTAGTCCAATCAGACCATCATCAGACCCATCCAATGCCTTAACACTCTTTTCATCTTTCTCATTTCCACCAGGCCCAACCAAGCATCCACCCAATAAAAACCTCTTCTTCTTCTTCATCGTCAAATTCTTGGACCCATTAGCCAGCAAAGGCATTCCAACAGGCACACTCCCTCCTCCAGTTACCGAAGAATCCGTGCTCACATTCCTGCCATGACCAGATTGAACGCCACTGGGAGAACCAACAACAGCATCCAAATCCCCACAAGTCAACAGCTGATGAAAAACGGGGTTGAATTCCCCCTGGAAAGAATGAGAACTCAGATGCTCCAAACGCTTCTTCCCTGAATTCGTCCCGGCAACGTCATTAAACGCCTCCTTGACACCCTTGAGAAAGGCCAACCCTTCGGAATTCTCGAGCTTCTCATCAAAAATGGCGAAATAAACAAAAGGGTCCTCGATTAAGAAGGTGTAGGTCCTCTGGCGAACGGTGTGGGAGAAAACCGAATGCAGAGGCGGGGTCTTGCCGAGGCATTCCCGGGCTAGGGATCCAAGATCCGCATGCTTGGAATTGAATTCAGCAAGAATTATGGTCCCTCTGGCTACGCAAGCGTAGTAAATTAGATTCGGATCCGAAACCATCGTCGTCCCCACCGCCTGCTTTGAATAACATTCAAAAGAATCTCCTTCTGAAGACCTTAAAGACCCAGATCAACTTTCTTATATACGAAAAAAAAGGGTCCAAGGTTGATTCCCCTATTTAACACGTAAAGGATATCGTTAATGTAGAGATCAAATAAGAAAAGAGGGCAAAGAGATTAGAGGGCTTTGAGGAAGAATCAGGGCAGGAATAACAAGATATGTAAATTTGATGAGCTGGATGAGATAGAGGTATCAGGAAAGTGAAGCTAAAGAAGCAATTATGGCTACGGGGACCAACCCATCAACGGAGAGGATGATGCTTACAGTTTAACTCTGAACCCTTCCTTCCAATTCCGATTTCTCCCTCTCTGAAGTCCCTGTGAATCTGATAAAGGAAGGTCAAAATTGCAGAGACAGCCAGCACTGGTGGCGGGTGGTGGGGTGGCGCTGCCTATCCCTGGGATCTTGGATTTACAGCTATTTTTATGTGGAGTTTTATATCTCTTCTTCCAATCACGTTGACCTAAAGTGGTGGGACCATGGGCCTGGTGTGGGGAAGAGGAGAGTTTCGTCCTTTAATAAATCTTTTTTAGTTTCGGTCTATTTACAATTTAGATTGATATCTTCTGAAGTTTTGTAAAAATTGGTAATTGCTCCCTGAAGTTTATTGATTGGTAATTTGCCTTATCTTTTTCAGCCTAGAGACTTCGTCTATTACATTAGCTTCACTCAGTTAAAAATCATACTCTCTCTGTCCTAAAATTATTGTCCAGTTTTCAATTTCAATTTTAGTGCATTTTGAATTAGAAATGAAAATCCAAATTGAACAATAATTACGGGATGGAGGGAATAGTATAAAATCTTTTCATATCTGCTTGATCAAAGAGTGTTAGTAATTTTTTTTTCCAAAAAGGAATAAAAAATTAGATTTTTAAATAATATTGGTTGCTTTCACAAACAACTTGTTTAATTTTCTGTTTAATGTTCTTAATGTTTTTGTTAATTAAATTGTTTTTTTTGGTCTTATTTGCTAAACCGCGAGGGATTAAATAATTTATTGGGGCGGTGATTGATGATTTTTATGATTACTGGTTTTCTACTTACTAACTAATGTAGTTTGTTTATTTATAGATATATTTGTCTTAAGATTATCAAAAGTAGAAGTAGCTGGACAGCTTTACTTGGCTTACGAGTGAATCAAAAGAATAATAATAAAAAAAAAAACAATCATTCTTTTTCTCCAAAGATTAAACAGTGTTGAGGTGATGTATTGGAGAAGTCTCTCGGATCAAGCATTCAAGCGACAAATAAGCTAAGCATGTGAATGACGCAATTTGTATCGGCACATCGCCTAAATTGCATTCTCGGATGTGATGATTGTCTCGGCCAAAATATTAAGTGTAGGCATCCACCGGTTTGATTCGTAAATGGGAAAGGAATGACGGAGCCATGAATTTGATGGAGGGAATGCGAGATCTGTACAGGTAATAGTAATATTTTAAGAATAGAATTATAAAAATGTGTTAAATGTCGTATGATATTCCAATGAATATATGCTTCTTTACCACACTGATTTTATGATTATTGTATCATCAGTAATATGCTTCTTTTGTCAACCAAAAAAAAATAAAAATAGAAAGACAAGATCACAACATTTAGATGTAAACATAGAAGCTAGGCGGAGGATTGGGGGTGAGAGAACAGAGACTTATTAGGTGGGAGCCACCACCAGACGACTGGGTCAAGGTAAATACAGACGGATCACACGATCCGGTCACAGGGGAAGTCGGTGCCGGTGGACTTATTAGGAATTCTGAGGGAGCATGGATTCATGGGTTTACAATGAGTATTGGAGCAACGTCTATGTTGGGAGCGGAGCTGTGGGGGATGTGACAGGGCTTATCACACGCCTGGGAGATTGGAGAGAGGAGGGTCATAGCCGAATAGGAAATTAAAAATTTGCATTCTACCTGAACAATTCAGTGCTAGTACCTTTAAACGCCTTCTTCTCAAAAAAAAAAAAAAAAACCTTTAAACGCCTTAATTTAAAAAAAAAAAGAGAAAGAAAAACCTGAAAGAAATTAAAAGAAAAAACGGGAATGCATATGTTTTACGTTGCATATAAACTATAAATAACCCCTCGGCCCTCTCCCTTTGTTTACCTTCCGTTCCCATTCAAACAGAACGTAATCGCAATCGCGCTCAATTCGAAAAGCTTTACCTCGAGCAAATCTTCAACCTTTATCTCTAGCAATCTAAGGTAACACATCTTTCTTTTTCTTTTTCATTTTATGTGCACCAAAATACAATCACATATGCAATATTTGTACTAAAATACAACCAAACTATATGGTTGTTTTTGAAGCACCAAAATAAAATGACAGTAGTATTATAACAGTCTACACAATTATTAACTATATAATTATCTCTGGCTTCTTAGTTGAAACTAATACAATGTTATTATGCTATTTTCAGTTTATTATAATGCTATATAATGATCTTCTGTTAATGACATGTTTAAAAAGATGTAGTGATACAAAAAATAAGAAAATAAGAGTATAAAGAAACAAAATACAGTTTAGCTTATTTATTTAAGAGTTCAATACGGGACTCACAAAGAAAAAAATATACATTTTTTGTATTTTTTTCAATAGTAATTAAACAAATTAATGATGTTACGTGATTTTTTGTCCTTTTTTTTGGAAAAATTAAGTTTATTAATCATTCTAATTAACATTTTTCGTAGGATGAAATTGGCCACAATATTAAACATTGCGATAAAATTGACCACTATAAAATACTTTGGAATGAAATTGACCAGAAAGCCAAACTTTAAGACTAAAGCGGTCATTTTTCCTCATAGTACACGAAAACACAATAATATATGAAAGTAGGCGGCCACTATTATTGCAACCCGTTTCCTAATCATTTTGTGGGAATCATATTATCGGACGTTTGGAGATAGTTCAAAACTCCCAAATTGGAAGTACTTAAATTAGAAATTTGACAAATTATTGGAGAATAGAAAAATTATAGTTAAGGGCACCAGAAAAACTAAAATCATTTAAAAGGACCTAGATTTTTTCTTGATATTATTTGAATATTTTAAAAAAATTTCTGCTAAGCGAAACAATATTTTATTATTTCTTTGTTCACTCTTTCATCCTTTTTTTAATTTACCTATGCCATATTCTTATTCCCCTCCTTTTTTATGATTTATCTTTATCACATTAATTACTGTTATGGACCTATCTTATACTTCAACTTACCACATTACGCTTTTGTTTTCAATTTTCTTTTTAAATAAAAACTGCCAAGATTTTATTTCAGAAGGAAAAATGCCCAATCTTATATGAAATATTTTATCACAACATCCAATCTAAAGAAAAACTAAGCAAAAAACACTATCCATAAAATAACTAACATCACATTCCAATCAATGGAGAGTTGCTTTTATTCAAATTTATAATCCTGTGTATTCCAAGCACACAAAAATAATTTATCATAAATATATATTTATTCTTAATATAGTTGATCTTTTTCACATTTTTATAGTTTACACACTTTTCTTTTTTGATGTCGCTTCTTACTGCCGATTTATGTTAATGCACTTCCAATGATATGTAAACAGGGTGGTATTTGCCCTTTTAATAGAAAATACACATTCAAAAATTATTTCTTATTTGGAGGAGGAACGATAGTATTTCATCGTTATCTTCTTTTTGTCAAGTGGATTGTAGGTGGCAGAGAGGTAGGGTCTAGCCTTTGATACATTTCCTATGTCTCAACTTTGTTTTGGTTAATATATGTTCATGTTATTCAAGAAAAATCTCAAGATCACTTTGTAAAAAATATTTTCAATTTTATACTCTAGTTCTTTTTTTAACTTGAATGGAAATTTTTGGAAGATCAGAAAAGGGAAGAAGATCACAGTAGTTATTAAAATAAATAGCAGAAATGCGTAGACTTAAAATTGGTGGTAGACTACCAAATTTTGGAGTAAACAAAATCTTTACACAAAATTGACTCTTTTTACACTAAATAAAAAAGATCACGGGTGGTTCTTTTAATCATTATCAAAAGGTAGGCCGTAGGCCAATAAATAAAAATTTGTTTTACTTTCCTCGTAAAATTTTCCAGATTTTGAAATTGAAAATTTGTTCGTGTGACCTATTAGGATTCATTATTGAAATAAAATTTTCTAATAAGGAAACAAAACAACAACTGTTTTTCTTTTAGGTATGCTAAGAGAAAGAACTTAACACGACTACACGAGTATTAAAAATGTCACTTGCAACTAAAGACAATTGATAACGTAACTACTTGGAATGAAAACACATATATCATCAGTTGATTAACCTCACAACAAAAATCTCCATGATTTACTTTAACCAAAGTACTCAACAAAAAGTTACTCAAGTGCTAGTCAAAACTTAATACAGAGATTATCATTTCGACCATGAAGGCTAGCTTTGCCTTGCCTTTCTGAATCTTGAACATCATCTCCACATTCGTGTTATTCTACAACATTCTATAATCCTCTCACTTGCAGAACTCCCAGGAAATCTTCACATTCTTTGAATTGCATAATGACAACTTGTTAATTGCTTTTTGGCATGTCGTAATCTTCCTGATCCTGATCTCTGATGCACTCCGTAGCAACCCATTTTTCCCCTTTGATAACTGGGCAGCTTCCATGAAGTGATGTATGTAATAGTACAATTACTTCAGCATGGAATCATTCAGATAGGATAGCATAATGGAATTTCACATCTTATTCACATGTCTTCTTGTTCAAATGCTAAACAATAAATATACCAGCAGAGATAAACTCAATCATTCTTGTGCCAAAAATACCACAGCTAGAAAGGACAGAAAAGTGAAAACAATTTCCTCTCAAGTATGTGCACCAAAAAAGTTGCAGGCATGCCTAGCTCATTTTTTTGGGCGGCACAACATTGAGAAGATAGAAAGTGAGGGTACATTTTCATGTGTGATCATTTGGTGTATCAAAACCAGTGCGTACGTTGTTAAAGAATGATAAAAGAAGAATACACAAAATTTAGGAAGTGAATTAGGAAAAAAAAAAACCAAAAACCCCACAAAATTACACATCAGCTTGAGGAAGTTTAGGCAAGAAACAAATCAACGACATGATGAGACGTATACATTGGGAAGGAAATTGGGCGAGAAGACCTGCCTCAAGGACTGCTGTTTTAATATATTGAATGATGTCATATCCTTAATTTTATGCATTTTTAGTGTTTATCTTTATCACATTAGTTATTGTTATAGACCTAGTGGAGCTATTAGTTCCTTCTATAAGCAAAGTGCTTCAAAGCAATCCACCACTTATTTTCAAACATACTGGAGGGGGAAGGAGAATTATTTTCCCAGTTTTGATTACATTTTGCAGCTAACCACCACATTCCAATTTGAGCAGCCAGTGTGTGATAACTATGTAATTTAAATGGTCGCACATTTCATACAGAGCAACAACACAACTTCCTCCTCATGTAAATGTTTAGGGTACCTAAATTAGAGAAAGACTGAAGTTACTGTTTCAGCGAGTGAATAAAAAAATCAAAACCAATTGAATTGAAGATTATAGTTAAATCTTTGAAGTTTAGACACGCATTAAGCTTGCAAAATGAGGAAAACGATAGCAAAAATGGCTAAAAGTTCACAATGCAATATGAGCCACTTTGTAATACAATAATTAAGGAAAATGAACACAACTAAGTTATAGTATGATTTTGAGTAGATTTATGAGAGATTCACATATTGAATTTCACTTGGGGTATTGACTAATACAATTGAAATTTCAAACAAACAGAAGTGCCCCATATATTTGTCATACAAAGCTTAACCCATATAATCCAAAATGATTATTCGAATAAAGAATGAACATATTAAAATAAAAAATGCCAAATATGAGACAGAAGCCAAGTACGAGGACTAAACTAAAGATTTACCCTACTAGACGTGATATCCTAGATTTTACATACTTTGAGGTTCAATCTATAATTATTCGAAACTTTCGAGGAAACCCAGGTTTTTAATTAACCTCTAACGAAAATTTAGAAGTACTTTCAATATTACCTCTTCTCCTCTCCGTTCTTCCTCGCCAGTAAAACCAAGCCGCCGCCGGAGCTACCCAAATCAGCCGCCGATTTCAGTTCCTAACGACACCCTTCCTCCTTCTATTAATTCCTCTTTGAACCCTATAATTTTCTCTCATAATTTTTTCCAGAACAAGACTTCTCTTTTACTGCAATTTTTCACCTTTCCGTCGCCTTGTTTTCAGTGCCGTCTTCGCCGTAAGGTTGATTTATGTTACCGTTTTCAATGGCCTGCTGATTTTTCTCTAAGAAGTGAAAAAGGACAACCATAAGGGGACTGAAATCTGGGCTTTTTTGCTTACTTGGGACTGTCAACAAGAAGGTAAAAATCAATATATTTTTTTTTTAATTCCCAATTCAAATTATGTTCATACCCAAGCATCATTGCAATCTCTAACCCATTCTGACTACCATTCCAGATGGTGAAGCGCAGGAGCTCTCAAAGTAGTACTATGGATTTAAAGGGCAGGGACCACGACCTTATAATGTATTCAGCACTCACCACCTTGTGGGGAAAAGCCTCTCCTCGCCCAAAAGTTAAAAAATTTTGTCATCAGGGCTATGTCACGGAACAACATTTGACGAATTTCTTGTGTTTTTGCACTCGTCTCGGTAAGTTCCCATTTTCTTTTAATTCATTGTTTCCATTTGCTTTTATATTTCGGGAGTGGTTGTAAAATTTTGAGGAGTTAGATTGTTAATTTTTTTTAGATTTTCTTGGTAGATTCTCAGTATTCCGATTTGATATACAGTTAGTAAATTTCCTGTCCGGGACTGAGTATACTTTATAGGATAAGTTGGGATTTTTGGAGGAAAGATATGATTTTTAGTGGAAAAAAAGATTGAGATAAAGAGAGAGAACAGGGTGACTAGAAAAAATGGTTAAGTATCAGTACCGATTACACTACTCCAAATTTAACTTTTGGCAGGGTTGTGAATATCTGAAAGTAGAATATTTAACAACCTACTAGTTGATGAACAAATCCCTTTGAGAACAAGATATTGCTGGAAAACAGGAAATAAGAAACATTTTTAAGGCTGTGAGCTGCTACGGAGTCCATTCTTTGACTTGTTTCCTTCAAAATGGTGACTGTTTTGACCTCTTCTAGTTTCCGATTTCACAACCCTCATTTAAAAACTGAACAAGTCTTCTGAAAACTCCCGTGCATGACATTTCCTATTTGTTTAGGTGAGAAATCACTCGTTGGTAATGTATGCGCACCATATCAAGATAAGATTGTGGAGGAAAGTGTGTCATGGATATGTGAGGGCTTAATCTAAAATGTAAGAAAAAGGTTTATAAGTTGTTCTCGGGAGCAGACTTGTAGCATATATCAAATGTGTTCCAGAGATTGCCCCGATGAATAAGATATCTCCATTCTGTGGAAATTCTGTGTTTTTTATACTTCTTTGATTATTTATTTTGAAATAATCAGCTGTCTTCATCCCTTCCCTTCTTCTTCCTTCCCCCGGGCCCGCCGCCAACAATGACACACATGCACGCATTTATACACGCACACATATATATAGATAGCGGCAATCAGGGATTGTTTCCATTTGGAGTGTTATTATCATCAATGTTTGGTGGTTGACATTATCATCTGTTGTGGAAAACCCAGCGGTACTACCGGATGACTTGGTGTTTGAAATCTTGAGACGGATGACAAGTAGGTGTTTGTTGGAATGCAAGCTAGTTTGCAAGTCTTGGCAAGTAATGATTGAAAGCCCTCAATTTATGGAGTCTCGGAGTTTGCCGGGCCTGATTATTTACTATGAAGAACCAGACCCGGCTTACCCTGAACCTTTGTTCTCGAAGCGGGAACTGAATCTATTTCACTGCAGTCTTAGGGCTGAAGGAGGTCCAGCACAAGAATTTGAAATTCTCGGCAAAGTGGCCCCGTCTGTATGGTGCAAGAGAAGGCATCGGATGACACAAATAATAGATGGCCTTGTTTGTGTTTACGGCCTTAAAGTTTTGAAAATTTGGAACGTTCACACTGGGGAGAGTATGAGTCTTCCGGAACCCTCTCTGCCCTTCGATAGTGATGATCAACGGTTTCTTTTCCGGAGAAGGTTTTATTTAGGATATGACCCTTCAGCTGGAGTGTATAAATTGCTAAAATTGGCCATTCCTCGTTACAGCAGTCCACTCGGTGTTTCAGCTGAGATTCTGACCCTTGGAAACTCATCATCTTCTTGGAGAGAATTGCAGCGTGGTGATGTTGCTGGTACTGATTGGCCTCCTGCAAATGTTAACCTTGAACCTTATTTTATAGCTTCGAATAGTAATTCATCTGATGGGTTCATCTATTGGGTTGGGGTTACAGACCATGGGTCGCCAAGGTTGTTGTCTTTCGATCTTAGACAGGAAAACTTTCGTTGGATTACTCTTCCGGATGATCTGATCATCAGAGACGATGAGACGTCAAAGTTAAAGTTTCGGGATTTGAAAATCACGCAATCCATGGGATATCTAGCTCTGTGGTTTCCTCCTGGTACGGCCGAAGATGATTGTTTTGTATTGTTCATATCGGAGGATAAGGGTATCAGCTGGTCTAAGCATGCAGTTCGCTTACCCCAAGGACTTAGAGATGAATCTTTTCAGAAGTTTGTCGATGTAGTTGGGAATCTCCCAACTGGTGAGCTTCTGCTGCTTAACCCCAAGGCGGAAACTTCTGCTGTTCCAGTTTATTCATATGATCATATTGAAAAGAAGTTTGGTAAGTTTGTTGTCGGCAAGATGCCCCAACCGCTTAGGCCCATCTTAGGCGAAATTTGCGGCTGTACATTAAAGATACCTGTTATGATCTCTTGTGGACTTGAAAATTTAAAACCGTTGGATGTTGCATTGAGCCGTGGCGGTTGAGCTATTTGGATATCAGAGGGTGTATGATAGTAATTATTGTTATTTATTTATGTAATAAGTTTTAAGATCAAGGAAGTATTGCAAAGTTATAGATGACAAGTTGGATTTCATTGTTGTACTACTATTTTTTAATTTTGTAATTCATAATTATGTCCGAGAGGGGATGAACTTTCGAAGCTATTATATAATCTTTTTCTCAATTCTTACTAGGTTGTCATATGGATTGTGATGTGTTTGTGTATGAATCGATTTAGTAAGCATTTTGAGATTATTATTATTATTATTATTATTAATGTATTTATTATTATAAAAGGGTGTATTTCTAAACTCTAAAGTCATCCAGAAATACATACACATCAGGAGAATGCAGCTGAATTATACAAACCAAAGTGGGAAGTACAACCAGCTCTAGATTTGGTGAAGCAAAAGGGTAGACTTAAAACTCAACAAAAGAATATGTTCAAAACTCAAAGCCAGAATAATCGTGCATATGCCGGATAAGAATTATTACCTGCGGAAAACGATAATTCATTTTATTAGTAAAAATAGAGGTAATAAATCTATTAGCCTAATGTTCAATCATTTTGATTATGTTAGGTACGATAAACAACAAGCTTCTCGCATTATAATCATGTTACTTTTTAGTTTTGACAGCTATTATGACATGAATGCTCTTATGACATATACCGTTGGAGTAGATACTTCCAAGAATTACATCATTAATTTAGATGAAATACATATGGGATTTTGGATATCCCATCACCTGTATTATATTATATTATATATATATATATATATATATATCATAAAAGAGACTTGACATATATTGATTCAAGTTTCTTTTTTCTTTTCTTTTTTTCCTTTTCTTTCTCTCTTACATTTTCTAGCCCCTATGACACAATAAACTAAGAAAGTAGAGTAGACGCTTCATAAAAAATAAAATAAAAACCAGATAGTTATAAAATTAACTTACTCATTTCTTTACTCCAAAAAAGCACTTTTTGTCCCATCATTTTATAACAACAACAACAATATACTCAGTATATTCCCAACTCGATTGGGATCTGGGGGGGTCAAGATATACGCATGTTTACCTCTGTATTGAAATACAGAGAGACTGTTTAAGTAGTACGACTCAAGATGTATTGGTGCATTGATATATTGATTTCCGGCAACTTCACCAAATTAAGAAGCGTCAGAATTTAAGTGAGCCGTTTTGATCTAATCCATTATTACCACAAAGCTTAAAGAATTATTAATAATGACTCTTACAGCTCCATTTGCAATGGATAATGTCCCATCATTTTATAATAGAGAAAAACATAAATAAGAGTCTATAAATTATGAGTAATAATGCTCATTTCACCTAATTTATCTCGCAATAACATCTCAACTTATGGTAATTTAATTATTGGGTAAAACTCAATAAATTAATTTAGTTATTTTTGTTAGATTTATTGAGACTTTAAAATATTATAAATCCAAAAATTTTAAATAAATAAATAGACCCTAACCTCCCAAAATAAACCCTAAGAGTAAAATTACAGTGTTGCAAAGATTATCAATGAGACAAACATTGATATGTATGGTATATATATAGTATTTACATTAAATTATTTATATGTAGAGTATGAAACGATGCACCAAAATGTAAGAAACACATTGGTCAATAAATACTTGATATATAAGATGAAATGAAAATGTGAGATGAACATTATTATTCACAGGTTATCGCATATCATTGTTATTTATCAATAAAATGAAAAACATACCCTAGTTAGTTCTCTCTATCTTTGGGGAAAAAATGGAATGTTAACAGAAAAACAGAAACTAACTAGGTATGTTTTTCAAAGCAATCAACCACATATTTTTCAAACATACTGGGAATAAAGAGAAAATAAAGACGGAACAAGCTGAGGTTTTGAAACGAACAAACTCGTATTTAGCTTTTTTGAGTTTTAATTTCATCTTGCAGCTAACTACCCACATTGCAATTTGAGTCCCTCATAAGTGTGATTACACATTGTAGGCATTGTGTGTGTTCGAGCTAAAAAGTGTAAGAAGTGAGGTCTGAATTCTGATTTGCTCCAAATTAGGGCTTGTTTGCTCAACACTCATTTTGCATTTTTGTCTCATTTTACCTCTTAAACACCTCTCAAACACAAATTCCAATACTAGCCAAACAACTTTTTAATCTACCTTTTAAAAAATATTCCAAAAATTATTTTTATACAATTTTCGTCTACCATCACCGAACCACCTCCACCACCACCCACCACCACCGGACCGCCCACCGCCGCCACCGGTGCTGGAGGTGGTCTAAAAATATTATTAGTTTATTTAAAATATCACCCAAATAACTTTTTAAATTTTATCTCAAGCCACATTTTAAATCACATCTCAAACCCAAATAAAAAACCAAAACAAAAATTAAAACAAAATGTTGGCCAAACAAGCCCTTAATTTCTAAGCGATTGCTTGCAATTCGCTAAGTGCAGTGCTCTTTTGAGCAACCTCAATGCAAATGGAGTAAAAAGTGGTCTCATGCAGTCCACATCAGATTTGTGGCCCACTCCATTAAAACGTTTCTTTCATGCAATGAGAGTTACCAGATTATGTATTATATGGCCTACCATTACTGCATCCCTCTTCTTTCTTTTTTTTCTTCTTTTTTTACTGTCGATAAAAAATAGTTGGCCCCACATCTGACATTTTTACTTGTAATGTCAAAACACGTGGGCTTTTTACTTTCAACCTTCTCCAATGAGAGGAAATTATTTTAGCAGTAATTGCCCCATATTTTCATGCCAATTGCCAAGCATTGGGCTTGCTCTTAGTACACAAAAAAACAAATATCAATACCGAAGTGATGAATTAAACGGTCGATTTTGCCTACTTTAGTTGTATATATGACTTGAGTAACTCTCAAAAGATTGGTAATAGCTATTACAACGTGTATGAAAAGAAAGAACATGTGAAGAAGAGAAACTGTAACAAAAGCTATTAAAAAAGTTTTTTTTTTTTTTTTGAAACTCAGCACCTGGTGCTTTATATAGATATATGAAAAGTTAAATATTATACAAGTACATATAGGCTAGACACGCCTGGCCTGCCAATACATGTGTTTCATGCACTTGTTGACGACTAACCTTAGTAACTACAAATTGAGCAAAGTACTGCAACTGTCTTTTGATATCCAATGTCAAAAGCAAAATCTACCTAGGTGGCTCCAACCGATTGAGAAGGACTTGAGCTAACACCAGACAATCAGTATGTAATAGCAGACCTTGAGGAGCCAGTGAGGACATATGTTCCAGGGCAAAGAGACAGGCTAAAGCCTCCACTTGAAGAGGAGAAACTGCAGGAAAGAGACAGCCACCACTAGACAACACTTGACCATCAGGAGCAGACAAAATCCCACCTCCTCCTGCCATTGTGGGATGTAGATGAAAAGCACCATCAATCTGCAAACAAGACAAATGAGCAGCAGGCTGGACGACCTCAGGAAGTCCACCGGGAGAAAAAAGAAGGGGTGGCAGAGAAGGACGATATAGTTGCCATCCACTTAAGGCTTGAGATACCACTTGCTTCGGAGATGGGAGCAAGACATTATCAAAAATGGCCCTATTCCGATCCCTCCAAATGTCCCAAAGAAAGAACATAGATAAACAGCGTAGGTCATTCGCAAGAGCTTTTGGCATCCAATCTACAAACCGTTGATCAAAAGGACGAGGAGTACGTAAAGAAAAATTAAAGCCAAACTTTAAGGCTCTCCAAATAGAGCTAGATCTAGCACAATCCAAAAGCATGTGACCCATAGATTCTTCATGAGCACCCCAACGCAAACATAACGGGGCAGGCATGAGACCACGATGAGCTAATGCTTGTGAAGTAGGACAAGCATTAGATAAGGCCCTCTATATAAAAAACTCCATCTTTTCAGAAAGAGCTGATGTCCATAGCTTATTCCATAGAGATGTAGGAATCCCTACACTAAGACATGATGTAGAGGCCCTAGTTATTGAGGCAGCCCGCAAATTACAAGCCTTGTGGTAAGCAGAACGTACAGTGTAGTTTCCCGATGGGTCAAAAACCCAATATAATTAATCCATGTGGCTGCTATGAGGTCGAGGTAAATATATACTGAGGATGTGATTAATGATGTGTTGAGGAAAAAGACCCTGCAAACCAGGAAGGCTCCAACCTCCAGCAGGATGAATGAGATTAGCAACCTTAAGAGAGGAGTTTCCAGCAAATGCTGAGTGATAAGCCAAAGGACTGGGGGAACCCGGTATCCAGTCAGCTGAAATAGAAATGCGAGTACCGTCCACCACCTGCCACTTAAGACCAATTGTCATGAGATCGCATCCCCGCAAGATGCCTCGCCAACCCCACGTCGACCTTTTGTCTGCTTGAACAACAAGAAAATCAGAGTGCTTACAATTCTATAGAGTTTAGAAAAAAGGTTATCAGGTTGCTTAACGATTTTCCAAGCCAGCAGCCCTAACAAAGCTTGGTTCATAGCCCCCGCCGAGCGCATTCCAAGTCCACCATGGAAACGAGACTGACACACAATATTCCAAGCCTTCCAATGTACTTTTTATCCCTCATCATCACCTTGCCAAACACACTGAGCCAACTGTTTATCAATGCCATTAGCCACAGCAACCGGAAGTTTAAATATGCCCATCGCATACTGAGAAAGAGAAGTGAGTACATTACGAGCAAGGACCACCCTCTCAATGAACGATAACATCTCAGTTTTATAACATGTAATTTTTTGTTGAATTTTCTGATTAATGGCAGAGAAGATTTGGCTGCGATTCTGACTAAAATCCATCGACATACCCAAATACCGGTCGCTAAAGAATTACTGATCAACATGAAGTATCAGTAATTGCAGGGTAGTAGGCTTTTCAAAATTTACCCATTATCTAGAATGTCGCGCATAAATATCAATGATTCGCGTTAGGAGGTTAAAAGTAGATACTCGAGCATAAGAGAAAAGCAAACAATCATACGCATACATAAGATGAGAGATAGTCGGTGCTCTTCAAGCAATATTTATGCCAATACCAGTGTGACGACTCTCATAATATTAGAGAATCGACGAGAAAGGCTGCTGCGCTAAAATGAAAAGAAAAGGATAGAGGGGATAACCTTGTCTGAGACCACGAGATGGAGTGAAAAAGTCCGATTGAGTACCATTAAAACGCACTGCAAAAGATACAGTCTCAACACATTGCATGAAATAGCCGATCCAGTTTGAAGGAAAGTTCATATGCTGCAATACTTGGCGAAGGAAAAACCAGTAAACACGATCATATGCCTTGCTCATGTCCAACTTAAGTGTAGCCATCCCCGACTTTGGTCGCTATCAACGTCAGATGTGCTTCATTAATTCATGAGCAACAAGAACATTCTCGTTGGTTGTGCGACCAGACACAAAACCTGTCTGTTGGACTGTGGCCAAAGAAGGCATAAGAGGTCGAAGTCGAGTGGTCAGAATCTTGGCAATGAGTTTATATTTAACATTGCATAGACTGATCGGTCAAAAATCTGCCGGAACTTTGGAAATTTTGACCTTTGGAATAAGAACAATCGCCGTTTGATTTTATTCGGGGTCCAAAGTAGAATGCTCAAAGAAACTGAGTGCCGCCAGGACCAAAGAGCTCTTAATCTCTTGCCAATAGCGTTGGAAGAAACCTACCGGCATTCCATCTGGCCCAGGGGCCTTCCACGGTTGCATTTCCCAAAGAGCCAATTGTATGTCATTCTCAGTAGTAGGCCGTTGAAGATGTGCGTGTTGAGCTGTACTGAGGGAAGGTAGGTGCTCCAAAAGGTCACTAAGAGTAATTTGAGTGGCATGTAACTCTGGATCTGATGGTGAAGGCGGATATGAGTCGGGTCTGGTGTAAACATCACAAAAATGAGATCTTACCATGCGAAAAAGAGCCAAAGGGTTAACTTCCCAAGAATCATCTGGATTTTGAAGCTCAATAACCCAATTACGACCCTGACGTCGAGTAGCCCAATGATGAAAAAAAACCGTGTATTCTTGTCTCCCTCCAAGTTCCAATTCAAATGAGCCCGCTGCTGCCAATACGACTCTTGGTATTCCAATAAATGATCAAGTTGGTGCCTAAGTTGTTTATCTTGAGGAAGTGATGTAGAATTCTTTGGAAGATTCTTCTGTGCAACCTCCAAATTATGCTCAAGCACCTGAATCCGATGATCTAAGGCTTACAACTTATCATGCCAATTAGTGAGATGACGTAGGGTACCGGCTAACTGGCTTGAGACAGCTTGCATTGGAGGATCTTGCGAGGAAAACACTCCCCACGAACGCGATACAATTTGCTGCATAGCAGGATCTTTTGCCTAGAATGCCTCAAAGCGAGGCAAATGAATATTTTTTCGGATGATAGCGAGTGTCAATAAGCATGGGTCCGTGATCAGAATGCATAATGGAAGATTTCGCAAAAGAATATGAGAAAATACGTGAAGCCAAGTATAAGAAGCTAAAGCCCGATCAAGGCGCTCATAAATGTATCTTGGAGCAGAGCGATTATTCGTCCATGTATACCACACCCCTTTATGCTGAAACTCAGTTAAACCCAAAGCATATGTAAGTGCTAGGAGGGAGGAAGCATTATTTGGGTTCATTGGGTCGCCACCTAGCTTATCAGATAGAGAGAGGATTTGATTAAAATCACCAGTGAATAGGACCGAATAATCAAATGGACTTATAGCTTCACTAAGTTGGTGCCAAACAGAGGATCTATTTACAACAGTAGGGGAACCGTACACAAAGACTAGCAACCATTCCAACATATTGCATTCAACTACTTTCAAACAAATAAAATGCTCACCCTTAACTATTGCTTGCATATTTACAGTAGATGACCAAACAACAGCAAGACCACCAGCAGAATTATGTGGGGACTACAACCTCCATATATTCAAATTCAGTTGACTTGTGCCAAGCATACAATTTCAACATATGACAACGAGTCTCCATTAAGAATAATACATGAGGGTGCACAAAAGACGAACTGTAATGTAAAGACATTTTTTAGTTGTTCAGCTTTTCCATCTTTGGCATTATCGCTGCTGGAAAGAAAACATCAAGTACAAAAATACTGGTTCCAGCAGATATAGATATCTGTGATATTGAATTCAACATCTTGACATCAAATAGTAATGAGTTTTATGAAGCTTCAGTACCTTCCAAGAAAGGTCATCGAGGAAGTAATGAGAAGGAATATGCATGTCAGAAGAAGGATCCCACTCGCACATGTCAACACCATTTGTAATCCCTACACAACAATACCACAAAATTTTCCTGAGCACTTACAAGCTTTAGTCAAGCAAGTTGCAGCATAAAGTTTCATTCACAATAGAGTTGCAAACAGAGACATAGTTAATTAATATCTACCAAATTTGAGTATGAAACAAAGAAGTGCAGATGGCTACAAAACTTCACAACACACAAAAGGACAAGAAGTTCACCATGTTTAGACTGCAGACATTACTAAAGGTAATTGTTCTTCACAGTCACATTAGATATTTATCTGGAACTTTACTCGCATGATAGACATATCATTGATAACGGTTCTTCTACTACCTAGAGGCTCATCCAACCCATATCCACCGTCCACAGTAGTAATTTCCCAAGAGTAACCCTGCACGAGAAACAAACATGATATCCAAGGCGCACACAAGTTTTCTGGTGGGAATATACGATATTATATGTATACACAGAACATAAAGTAGTCAGGCACATACGTTAGGATCAGAGTATCAAGAACCGCGTACTGATGCAACTATATTACATCCCGTACTAGGCAAATGATTTTCCAACTATTTATAGGTGCCAGATTCTCCAACTGTTAAACGAAAATTATATATAAAAAAAAAACTCAGACATGGCTGACCGTCAAGATTATGTCTACAGTCATAATTGCCCCTTTCAAGACATTCACAGCTTCACCAGTATCCAGGGCATGAGTGAACAGATTGGAAAGATCCATTCCACAGCGCCATACCAATATGGAGGCAACCCCAAGTCATCGTGAGTTGCTGCAGGCTGTACTCCCTAGAAATCACAGAAAAGCTTTCACAATTACTCAACATACAAAAAACAAGGTGGTTCACATCAAGTTCTGGACTTGGTGAAATCACGCAAACACAGCACAAAAAAACATTACTACACTGATTCTCTCATCTTGTGTTATTTTCATCGAGGCTGACATTACTAAGGTAGTTTGAAGATTACATCGAACACAATTGTCTCTATACGATAAAGTGAATAACTTATTCAATCTCACCAATATTCACAAACCTGATTGTCACCAAATTGATCACCGTAAGGCGTTCCAGGTCTATGATATATATGAAGGATGGCCAACGAATTCCTAATACACTATGAAGAGAAAGAATTGTACTTAATGTTTTTTTTTTTTTGAAAAAAGAGAATACATCCTCCAATTTCTACCACATATATGCTATTTAGATACCACCAAACTCGGTTCTTTATAGATATAGAAATCAGAAATCAAAAGAATTTCAAAAACTTATTTTGAATAAAAGCTTTTCATTAACATTAACCAAAATCTCTTTCACATCTCCCATTAAATAGTATCCAAGACCCTAAATTATACTAGTAATTTCTAGTTTATATTATATTTTCATTTGAATACAATAACTATTTTTTCGTCTCCAATGCAATATAAGAGAGATGAAATTACCCAGTTAACCCCTTCCCCCTTCCTTGGATTTTTATGTTTTTTAAAAAATATTCTCCAAACTTTATAAATAGTGTTGACAGAGAACCAAATCTAAAATATCTTACTATATATTAAGGGAATTTTTTTCACAAGACACATGTCAGTTAATTAGATCATCTATAATTCTCAAAAACACATGTCATCTTCTTATTCGATGAGACTTTTATGTAGTCCACATGTCATCTTTTAATTCGTGGACTTTTTTAACTTTGTATTTTACCTAAGTAATATGGTTAATTAAAATAATTATTACTTCCTTGGAAGTATAATTTTGACTCCTTTAATTTCTGATACATCAAACTGACCGGAAATTTTTATCCGGCCACATAGATCTCTCTTCCCAATATTACGTCCGGCCAACGATTTCCGATACACCGATCTGACCAGGAGATTTTTTCTGGCCACCAAGACTTCCGGCTGACTATATCTTCAAAATCACCGGCTCATCCTTCACTTCATTGCCTAAAAAAACATCAAAGTTTGACTGTATCTATCGGGCAAACATAAAACTTTGAAATTGAAGGATATGAAATCCAGCTTCTTTTGAGTGACAAATCTTCAGTGATATCAATCTAGCATGAATTCCTGATCTCTACTCGGCGACAAATCTCTGATTTCTGTTGTTATTGCTGCTGCCATAAGATATTTAAAAATTGGAATTACCAAAACTATTACGTCGACGAGGAAGCCATGGATAACATCTGTTTGATTTTCCCTTCATTAATTACGCATGTAATTAGGTATATGGCTTTCCCTGATATGGGCGTTTTTCCCGGCGTAATTGATTTTACAATTTCATTGGATCGGATAAGGTATTATTTCAAAATATCAGTTTGAAAATTGGTTTTTATCCTACCCGTATCTCTCTCATTAAAGCATTTGATAAATTTCAATTTAACTAACAACTTAATCGGATCCAAATCTTAGAAATCAATTCCATTTAGATGCACCCATCTCTGCTTTCAACAAAATCCATGCCAACCCTTCAAGGATTTCATGTTCGAGACTGGATTCTTTGAGTTCTGTTGGGAACCCGTTTGTGGTTTCTTCAAGACGGGCATCTCAGGTTGTGAAATCAGTGTTTGGAACCCCAGAAGAATCGAGTCCAAATGGCGGAATAGAAGTAGCGAAACCAGACAAGAAATTGCAGCTGGCTGTTATTTTTGGTCTATGGTATTGTAAGAACATTGTGTTCAACATTTACAACAAGAAAGTTCTGAACATTTTCCCATTCCCATGGCTTCTTGTATGTTTCCAGCTATTATGTGGCTTGATTTGGATGTTTATCCTCTGGTCTACCAAGCTTCAACCCTGCCCAAAGTTATCTAAATCATTCATCATTGCACTTCTTGGCCCTGCGCTGTTTCACACAATAGGTCACATTTCAGCATGCATTTCATTATCAAAAGTGGTTGTTTCTATCAAGCATGTTATTAATTTGGCAGAACCTGTGTTTTCTGTGATTTTTTCGTCATTTCTTGGTGATTCATATCCTCTAAATGTTTAGTTGTCAATATTTCCCATGGTGTTTGGTTGCTCTCTGGCTGCTATAACTGAAGTGTCGTTCAATTTTGGAGGTTTGTGGGGTGGCATGATAAGTAATGTAGGGTTTGTCTTGAGGAACATTTATTCCAAAAAGGGTTTGCAGAATTGGAATGAAATGGATGGACTGAATTTGTATAGGTGGATCGGTATTATCTCATTCTTGTATCTGTTTCCAGTGGTTATCTTTGTTGATGGCTCTCAACTGGCCAGATTGCAGGTTATCATAAAGCTATTGAAATCATTGGAAAAACCTATACCTTTTACTTTTTGGGTGATTATTTGGATTGTTTTACCATCTTTATAATTAGTCATCTTATCAAGCACTAGATGATATTAGCCCCCTCATATTCTCTGTGGGAAACACAATGAAGAGGGTGGTGGTAATTGTTGCTACGGTGTTGGTTTTTAGAAATCCAGTGAGGCCACTTAATGCTCTTGGTTCTGCCGTTGCCATGTTTAGGACTTTCCTGTATTCAGCTAAAAAGCCTAAGAAACAAGCCTAAGAAAGTGCCGGTGATCAGTAGAATTGAAGACAGAGCAGCAGGTGGTTGTCTTCAGGTTTTTTCTTCCTCTTTATAGAATAAGTTAGTTATGCTTTTCTTTATTCAAAGAAAAGTTTAGTCAATGACTCAAATTAGGTACAATACCTCTTGTGGTTATTTTCTATGGCTTTTTTGTTTGCAGTTTTGAGTGTTTAAGCTTGCTTAGAAACATAAAAAAGAAAAAAAGAAAAACTAATTGTTGATATATTCAGTTAATAAATATCAATCGAATTTTGTGGAGAGAGGTAATACCCCTGTGATTTCAATTAGTACAACCCAAACCAAAATTTTGGAGGTAGTTAATTCTACATATTTCTATAATAAATCGCCAGAGAAACATAGTATTATAAAATCACGGTGATATTGAAAAGAAAGCCTTGTCAAGATCAATAAAATAAAAAGTCTTCCAAATGTCATAAGTTAATTAAGAATACATCTTGAATTTTGTACAAATATGAGATATGCTTTTTATTGCTCTCGAATCATTTCATTTGTCATTTGTGTCATTTTGATGCCCTTTGAATATCTTTCCTAATCTACTCCTAATCTAGGAAAAAAGTTTATTTTTTTTGTTAAACTATTTTAATACCATAATTTCTTATGGACGGAAGTAGTTGTTCAAATTTGTGGTGAATAATTTTTACCAATTGAAATTTTAACTACTCTCATAGTGCAAACCAAAATTATCTCAATTAATTACTTATTTTGTAATTTGGGGAAAATTTTGAACACATAAAGTATTTATCTTGATTTATGTAATAAATCTTACTATATATTAAGGGAATTTTTCTCACTAGACACATGTAACTTAATTAGGTCATTGAGAATTTTCAATTACACATGTCACATTCTCATTCGTAGAGAATTTTATGTAATCCATATGTCATCTTCTAATTCGTGAATTTTTACTGGGTATTTTATACTGGTTATTTTAAACACTGTAAAATGGTTAGGAAAATTTACTCATACATACCTCAAAAAAAATATGAAGAAAAAACTATACCTAGGGTTTTAATTCTCGCCAAAAAAAACTCTTTCGTGCTTCAAACACGCGAAAAAATTAAAAATCGCCTTTTGAAAATGCTAAAAAATGAAAGTTTTCGCGTTTCAGAAACACTAAAATTAAGAACTCGTTATTAATTTAACTTAATCCTAATTAATTAATGGTAAAAGAATTGAATAAATAAAGATTCGCGTTTTCAAAGCGCGAAAAAAATAAAAAAAAAATATTTTATTTAAATAAAAAAAGAAAATAGTCATAAAAATTTGATTAATTTGCCTAGTTTAAAAAGTTATAGGGAACTTTACTTCAAAAAAATTTTAAATTTGAATAATGGTAACACAAAATTTTAAAATTATAATTGGTAATCATTAAATTTTGAATAGAGCTATAAAGAGGAAAATTATATTGATAATTTTAATAATACGAAAATTAAATTATGAATAAGAATATAATATTATAATTGATACTCATTAAATTAAATAGAGCTATACTAAATATAAATGATTAAAAGTATGATATAGTTATTATAATGCATTAAATTTTTAAAACATTATATAAAAAATTTAATAATGATTATATTAAAAAATTATATTAAATTTTTAAAGAATTACATTAAAAATGTAATCATTATTTTATAAAATAATTTTATATGAAAAATTTTCAATAATGATAAATGACGTAATTTTATGGATTTAATTAGATGTAATTTAATTTATAAATTGTTTTTATTAATTATGACGGTTTCAATATAAGAAAAAAGCTTAAAATATGAATAAATTTTATTAAATATTTACTATAATTTACCAATGCTTAAGATGAAGCAATTATTGTCTCTTCTTACGAAACCTCACGGGGGAGACAACAAAAATTTCGAAGCGAGGACGCGGAGGATCGGCGGGTAATAAGTTCAGGATGTCTCTGGGTCTTCCAGTGGCTGCGACGGTGAATTGCACCGACAACACCGGGGTAAAGAACCTTTACATCATTTCAGTGAAGGGAATGAAGGGTAGGCTCAACCGTCTCCCTTCTGATTGCGTCGATGACATGGTTATGGCCACCGTCAAGAAGGGTAAGCCCGATCTCAGTCAGAAAGAAGGTCATGCCCGCAGTCATTGTCCGCTAGCGCAAACCATGGCGCCGAAAGGACGGTGTCTACATGTACATTGAAGATAATGCTGGAGTGATTGTTAATCCCAAGGGAAAAATGAAAGGTTCTGCAATCAGTGGTCCCATTGGAAAGGAGTGTGATGATCTTTGGCCTAGGATTGCAAATGCGATTGTTTAATGCACCGCATCTTAATTTTGAAGAGAACTTTAGTTTACTGAATGTTTGTTTTAGGTATCTGGTATTATTCTTTTGTGGATGTGGTAATTTTAATAGACGATTGGTGTGTAAGAGCTAAGAATTATATCTTTTGTTTGGATAAACTAAATATTTTGCTGTTTGTTTTTTTTAAAAAAAAGATGAAGCAACTATTAATTATTAAAAAAATATAAGAAAGTTTGAAGATGTGTTTCAATTTGATCGGCGAAGATGTGTTTTATAAATATTAATTATTGTATTTACGATGCAGGTGAAATCAAACTATTAAGAATATTAATAACAAAATACTACAAGTCATAACAAAAGGGAAAAAAATAAAACAAGTCATAACAAAAGGAAAAAAAAAACATAAATGAACAAAAGGAAAAAAAAAATACAAGTCTAATAATACTACATAAAAAGTCTATACCCTACTTCTTCTTGGGCTTTTTAGCCCGAAAATGGCTATAAGTCAATCTATCGGGCTCCTTCGTCACTCTCTGGCCTTTACTCACAGCCAACGGTGGAGTCCCTAGAGTTTGACTCGATCCCTGCTCCTCATGGCGCTGATAACCCTGACCCTCAAACTGATCATCCTGGTCTGCATCCTCAGCCTCATCCTCGGCCTCATCCTCAGCCTCATCTTCACCCTGACTCTCACGTTCACCTCCAGCTGGGTCATCAGCCTGATGCTGACCTGCAACACCCTCGAACATACTCGAAAGAAAGTTACTCGTGTAATGTATCGACTGGCCATCTAGCAAACTCTTCTGGAACCCAGAAAAGTCAATAAAAGCATCTCCAAACTGAGGCTGAGAAGTCTGAGGGGAGGAAAACTGAGTGAAGGCAAAATGGGACTGCTGGTGCTGGGGAGACATAATGGGACGGTAAAACGCCTGTTGGGTCGGCGAAGAATGATGTGGAGACTGATGGGATGAATGATGTGGAGAATAATGTGGAGACTGATGGGATGAATGTTGTAGAGAATGGTGTGGAGACTGATGTGGAGATTGATGGGATGAACCGTCAGTGAAGGGGATATGAGACTGCTGATGCTGGGAGGACTGATATGGCTGAGTGGGCGTGATTGTCTCTTGCCCCCCACGCCCACGCTGAGACCTGCGTGAACAGATTCATCCTCTGAGGTTTATTACATGAATGTTCAAAACAACACACAAATACAAACACTAACAGAATCATCACCACGCATCTTAAGGAAAATCATCACTATGCATCATCATAATCATCAGAATTGATATTAGGCACACTACGAATTCCATATGGATCGTAAAGTTTATCAATAGCGGTCCTGTCAGTAGGTGGATGAGAAAATGGGCATTCCACAGCATCATGATCCAAACTTCCACATCGTGTGCAAACTCTCGCATATGGGCAAGCCCTGGCATTATGGCCCTATAGTTTACATAAACTGCAAGTTTGGAGTCTTCGCTGGCCAGATTTGCTTGTATAATCCATCACACCTTTTTTCCGATTCACACGCTTCCGACCCTGGCCAGTATGGTGGACAAGTTTAGTGTCATCTGGCCTGATCTGCCACGTTGCCTTTGGCCATGGTTCCATGATTGGGTTGAATTCTCCAGAAAACTGCTGGTACCATTGATGCGTAGTGTAACATGGATCAAAAAGTGGGAAGGGGTCGTCACCTAGTTCACAGGCAACTCGAAGTGCATGGGAACAAGGAAATCTGAAAGTCTGCCACCTTCCGCAAGTGCACTCTCGATCTGCATAGAGCACAACTTGCTTCTCCTCAGCCTTCCATGGTTGATTATCAGGTACTATTGTAACCACTTCGTACTTCTGGTTTTTCTTGCTAAACCGGTTGACCTTTTGCCTCAATGATTTCTTTCGGGCCCCTTCATACAATTTCATTGGCTTAGGAGGTAGAACATTCTGACATCTTTGGATCACAATGTTTGCCTGAAACAGATTGTTACTTTTCTGAAAGGATGCTAGGATCAAAGCTGTGATCGGGAAGAATCTAGCACCTTTCAGCACATTATTGAAACTCTCTGAAATGTTAGTGGTCATTTCTCCCCAACGATGCCCTCCATCGTGTAAACAGGTCCATTTCTCAACACCCAGCTTCTGAAGCCAACGAGCTACAGCCTCATTTTTTTCTTCTAATTTTTGCCACTTTGCCAAATACCTTGTCTTTTGCGTCGCTGAACCAATCATTTGACAGTTGTCTCCCAGTTTCTCCTTTCGAAAATGCCCAACCAAGTTTGCTTTAACATGCTCTAGACAATACCGGTGGACTCCCATCTCTGGAAATTTTTGCAACATGATGTCCATGGCAGTAAGGATACCCTGATTTTGATCAGAGATAATACAAGTCTTCCTATCCTGTAGAACAAACTTTTTCAAATACTTCAAAAACCATTTCCAGCTATGTATAGTCTCTTCGTCCACAAGAGCAAATGCGATGGGAACAATTGTGCCATTTGCGCACTTTACGCATGCCACAATTAGTTTTCCTTTGTAGGATCCTCGCAGGTGAGTGGCATCGATGGTTATTACTGGCCAGTAAGCATGAAATAACTGTATAGATGGCCCAAATGCCCCGGAAAACATACCTACATACAAACCTTTGCGAGCTTCCTGAATTTTCCTTAAACTTGAATTGCACACAGGTGTCCGGGTTTGACATGAACAATGCATCGAGGAAGCTGGGCAGTTGTTAAAAATTACTTTCCCATGTACCATACAGAGCCTCAAGTGCTTTTCTTCTACCATGCCATGCCTTCTTGTAGCTACATTCGACTTGGTACCTCTTCAAAACTTCTATTTGAATTTGGGCAACTGCAAAATCAGGATGTTTTCGCACATTTTGGGCAACCAGTCTAGCAATCATAGAAGACGTGACGTTTCGGGACTCGTTTCTCTTGTTTGCCCCGAGACAGTTATGGGAATCGGACCAAACCACCATTTTCCAAGTACCGGTGGCCTTCTGTAGCGAAACTCGCGCCTTCCACAAGTAATCATAGCCGTGAAGACGCTCTTTTGGATATTTGGGTCCACAGGTCTCGCATTCGACATACCATGTTCGTTTAGAGCTCGTTTTCACCCGGAAAGTCCGACCATGTACCAAGTTCCATTCTCCCACTGCCGCTTGTGCCTCAGGCTTGTTGGTGAAATGTATATCAAGGCCTAGCGTCAACGGATTGCCATCCCACATTTTAATCCCATCACAATCTACGTCCTCTAAAGTCTTGTCCCATCCACTTATGTCGTCGAAAATATATGGGACTGAAGAAGATGACTCAAAATCAGTGTCGTCATCTGAGTCCTCATCCGATGGGACATACTCATCATCACTGCTTTCGACACCCCCACCATCTTCATCTTCATCTGCATCTTCATCTTTATCTTTATCTTCATCTCTATCTTCATCTCCATCTTCATTGTCTTCAACTGTTCTACCACCACTAGTGCTGGCACCAATATCCTGGCCAGATGTACTTGCATAAACATGGCCTGTTCTCTCAACATTTTCAGGATACAATTCTGGCCATTTATCAGCACAAAGATAAATGAACCGAACAGTATTATCATCATTAATGTGCACACGAGACCTTTTTCCTGACCTCTCCGTCCATACCAAAGAAAAATCAATATACAGCCCTTCTCTATCAACTTCCATCACACACATACCTTATCAACAAGTTCCGAGAAATCTAACATACGATCAATGATAAGATAACCGTCCGGCGCATCCCGCTGTACCGTGATAGTCCCATCAGGTTCAGTTATATAAGTAGTATTCCAGTATACTTTCAGACGAACTGTCTCCGTGAAAGACATTTGCGGCCTGCAAAATCAATTCCTACGAAATCAGAACACTAGAATATATTTAGAATTTTAGTTTTGCGGAAACAGTATTTACCCCGTTTACAAATTTAATAATTTCAAAAGAACAACTATACGCCTGAATTTACAAATTCATTTCTATGCTAAAAATTAAAATTAAATCTAAACCTTATGCCCGAATTACATAATTTATTCTTATGCTATAAATATTCAAAAATTCAATATCATTATTATAATTTTATTTTATTTTTCAGAAATCGATGTACAATAATTTACAACGCTCATCTAATTTAACATTCTATTAACTAATATTTCTTTCAATTCACTTTATCAGCCTGATTAAAAAACACCGTTAATTGACTAAATCACAATTATTTATTAACTAATAATAATGCGTAAATCATCCTATGCTCACAATAAGACATAAAAGAGTACTGTTTTTTATAACGAAATAAACTTACCTCAATGTTAAAACTTAGGGTTTTAAATAGGCTTCAGGACTCAAATCAATCTTCTTTAACTTCGGAGCAACTTCTCAATTTGAAGTAAATGAGAGCTTTCACGGATTCAGCAAGTCCTCCGGAGTGAAACTTAAAATCGGAGCTCAACAGAATGAAAGAAATTTGGGAAGAAAAATCGTAGCTGAACACAATGAAAAAAATTTGCGAAGAAATGCTGTTAATTTGCTTGGTTTTGTATATGAATCTTAAATTTCGCGTTTACAAAACGCGAATACATTCCAGACTTATCATCAAATACACGTGGAGCCAAATGAGTGGATGAAGAGATTTTCTGGATATTTTCGCGTTTTGAAAACGCTAAAATCATTTTTCGCGCTTTCAAAACGCTAGAAAAATTTTTTTCGCGTTTTCAAAAAGCTAAATTGTTATTTGCAAACCGCAATTAATTTAAAATTTTAAACTTATAGCTTTTCGCATTTTTAAAACGCAAAAAATTTTGAAACGCGATTTACATTTTTCGCATTTCCAAAACGCGAAAAATGGTTTTCCTTTTTTAATTCAATTTTTTTTTTCTTTCGTCCCGGTTGAATTTGAGGAAAATATAATTAAGAGTATTCGCGTTTCACAAATGCGAATTGTTAATGTAATTTTCTTGTTTCGCGTTTTGAAAGCGCGAGAACATTATATTTGTCCAATTTTTAAACCCTACATATTTTTTGTTCCACAATTTTGGGTTTGACTCACCCAAAAGTCAAGCACCCAGAATGGTTATTTTCTAAAAGAAATAAATTTCTTTGAAGATCGTTGATTGACGCCAACAATCTCCGAAACATCAAATTGACCGGAATGAAATGATTATCCTTTTCCCGAATCTTCGTACAATTATCCTTCCTTTGGAGTCCTCACCGAGAAGGCATTGATGTTGTTCTTCCTTGACCCGATAACCCGTGGAGCCGGAGACGAGACTGTTGTTTGGATTCTGATAAGCCATTGAAGCTGTTATTCCCTGACTCGATAAGTCGTGACATTGGAGACAAGACTATTGTTCAGATTTCAATACTGGAAGAAATGATTATAGTCGTGACGGCTTCGATTAAGCACGTCCAAATCCTTCACCGATTGACTGTATTCTCCTTCACTGGCTGACTGTATCTTGCGAATCTCTGGGTGTAGATGATGAATCGCACTCCTTTGAAATTCCATCATTCCATCAACGGCGGCCAAAATTTCTGCAAATTTTCAATTTCACATGCGGCCAAGATTGAACGAAACGATAATACCAAATTATTTCCAAATTTATATTTCATTTAGGGTGCTGTGTGAATTAATTCATGATCCTTTGCTCATCGAATCGCGGAGGGCTGATATGTACTGTTGTTACCGTGAAAAGGAATTTTCAAAAATTAATTCCTTCCTCTGTGAAATCGGTGATGAAAATGGAGATTATATTCCCATATAAATTTATTTTATTGAATTAATGGAATCTTAGGATAGATTACGTTTAATTTTAGAACTCTCTCCATCCTCTCTTTTTTTTTTTCTTTAACTACTCTCAGATTCCCCCGCTCTTTTGTCTGATTTAAGTTTAAATTTTGATTTCTTCTATCCAAATTCAAAAGGATGATGGCTTCCGATAATCACTCCGATAAGAACGCAATTTTTCAGATGCTCAAGGCTAAATCAGATAATAAGGTGTACCTTTTTCAAATCCTACACGAACTACTTTTATTTTTCATGTGCTCTCTGGTTGGTTTTGGCTCGATTCATGGTTGAATTTCATTGGGAATCCTGAGATCTAATTTAGATAAGTGGTTTGAATTGTGGATTTTCCGTTTTCATTCCGATGAGTAAATTTTTTTTTTGGTCACTTTTTTTTTTGTTCCCTGGTAGATGTATTTCACTTACAACGCTAAAGAATTCGACCAGCTTGAGACGGCCATATTTGTATCCATGCATTAGTTACAACTCAATAATTTTCCTGCTTCCTTTTAGTCTTTTTTCTTTATTTTTTTCTTGGTTATTAATATTCAATTTCTGTTCGTTGTTTTTCTTAGTGTTGGGATATAAGTTCATTTAAGAATGTGGGATCTAAACGATTCATCGAATCAGAGAAGAGATGATCAATGTAAAGGGTGCTCTTTAACTTAACGGGATGATGACAACAAAACAAGAGGATCGTTGTCATTCCATTTCATCTGTCATCGTTATCGAGTATTGTTCTGAGCGAGAAGCTGGTGATGATCGAGGGCTAATTGAGCGTATGAAAATGCAAATAATTTACCTCATTTTACTCAACATTTCACTCTAAAGTTGAATACATTCCTCAATTTGCTCGATTTTTGTTTCTGAGTAATGTTTCCTTGGTAATCGTTAACAGCCACCTTTCTGCACATTTTTTGTAAATTGTTTGCCTAGGTAACATTTAACTTTAAATTTAGTTGTTTTGCAACCATGTGTTTTCTTATAAGGTTTTGAGGATTGCCTTCGTCAACAAAAAAAATGGACCAAAGGTGGCTATCAAAATAATGTGAATAAGGTGCCTGCTCAAGCTAAACCCTGGCCTCTGCACTGCAGTTTGCAGAATCGCAATTCAGGTTCGTAGAATCGCACGATCCTACGATTCTGGGTCACTAAATCGATCCTGGATCAATTAGGATTGATCTTTCAGTGGAATCGGAACTAGAGTCGGTGGTTTCATTTGATTCTATCGGTTCCACCGATTTTGGAGCAATTGCTCAAATTCAAACAAAAAAAAAAAAAAACGAACGACAACATAGATTGTGAAACTCGAAGAAATTGAACTCCAAGGAAAGATTATGGCATACAAGGAGCAAAATCAGAATCTTAAAGATGTGGATTGGTTATTGGTACCATCGATTCACCGTACTTTTTCATCCCGTTACTTCAATTCGTGATTCCACAAAAATTCACTTTTTTAGATTTTTCTTGGAGGATATGTCGCTCAAAAAATAGAGAAAAACAGAGGATAGAGAGATTGTTTTCAAAGATTCCCTTTTTCCATGGCTCTGTTCTTGTGGCTGCAGCGTTTATTGATGCTCTATTTTGGAAAAAAAATTGTTCTGTTTTGGAAAATACAGTCGGAGAAGAAAGAGCTGTCACTTTGACCGAGAGCATCAATTTTTTTTATTAATAAATTTTTTTATTAGTTTTTGTGTGTGATCATAATTCTTAAACCATCTCGGGTGAGGATTCTTGATTTAAATTTTAAAAAGGATGGAGAATTTGTTTTTAACACTTCTTATATGACTTATTCGTCATTAAATTTAGCCATTTATAATTTATAATAATGCTTAGACATTAAATTCTTTTATAAGATAACTAAAACTTAATTCTTAAAGTAACATAGTAGTAATTTGAGCATGTTTGGGTAGTCATTTGGTATATTGTTGTTTAGAAATGTTTACAAAGAGAATAATTTTGTAATTTAATTGTAGATAACGTATATAAATATAAAATTTTGGGAAATTCTACAATCCTACTATTCCGATCCTACCGATCCCATTTACGATCCGATCCTGTGACCTCATTTCGATCATGCGTAGGATCACGATCCTGCAAACATTTTGAATACTGAAAATATGTATTGCATAACTAAATTTGATTACTCTTATTTTTCACTTTATCTACTTTCAGTTGAGGTCCCTTTTCTTTTCTTTCTGCTTTCTTCTTTCATTACTTTCTCGACATATTTTTTGAGATAATGTTAATGTTTTTGTTTTCAATCATTTTCTTTGTATTTTTTCATTACTTTCTCGGCATAGAAAGCTGGATGATTCCCTCAACTTATTATATCATGACCCTTCTATCGTCGACGTTGCTCCGAATATCATTCATTTGTCGGCAACTTAATAAGTTAACATACCAAAGACTAAGAACCTTTTAAGTAGGACGATGCAGAGTAACATGCTGTTAAAGATGAAAATACCAATCGAATGAGACCTTCTGTTTTTTTAGTTTAATGAACTGTCAGAAATAAATAGCTAACTTTTATTTTTAGATCCAATTTCAATTATTATTATTTAATTTTTTCTTTTTTATTGCGTGGTTTTATGTCTTATGAATTAAATTAGATTGAATTTTATAATGTATTTTTTTTCCATGTGTTGTTATTGTCAACACGTCCATCAACCAAAACCATTGCAGGTTTTTAATATATTAAAGACTTAGAACCTTTTAAACCAGAATATACAAAGTGACATAGTATTAAAAGTGAAAATAAAGATGGATTAACAGTTGGTTCTTCTTTTTTGTTTCCTTCTTTTTTTTTTATTTAACGAGGCGTCAAAACTACTAAAATAGCAGACAAAACTATTACAATTTTTTAATCTACCAAAGACTCGGAACCTTTTAAGTGAGATAA